TGTTGGTCGTGGTATATACAATTTGTTACTGTTGTTCGTGGTATATATAATTTGTTAATGTTGGTCGTGGTATATACAATTTGTTAATGTTGGTTGTGGTATATACAATTTGTTACTGTAAGTAGTGGTATATACAATTTGTTACTGTTGGTCGTGGTATATACAATTTGTTAATGTTGTTCGTGGTATATACAATTTGTTAATGTTGGTCGTGGTATATACAATTTGTTACTGTTGGTCGTGGTATATACAATTTGTTACGGTTGTTCGTGGTATATATAATTTGTTAATGTTGGTCGTGGTATATACAATTTGTTAATGTTGTTCGTGGTATATACAATTTGTTAATGTTGTTCTTGCATGGTGTGTTCATGTTGAAAGGGTGTTCACATGTTCTATGATGTGCTTACATGTTGTCCATGGTGTTTTGATTGTGTTTTCATATTGTACACAGGTGTTAACATATTGTACACAGGTGTCAACATATTGTACATGGTACTTACAAATAAAAATCAAGTATACGTTTTTGGTATACATATTTCTATGGTTTTCATGTACATATGGCTTTACTGAACATGTCAGCTATGATATGCTCTAAGAAACAAGGTTCCTACGTATAATAGCTACATGGACAGTTATGAGGACTTGCTGGAGTTGACAGGAATTAAGCATACATGTATGTACTGCCAACAGGTCATTCTCAGGGTCCCTTATGATGCTGGTTACAGCGTGTGACTCTTTATACCTTACAGCATGCCTATACCTCACAGGACCTCGGCAGCATGCAGAACATGAACACGAACATCAACCCTGTGGACAATGAGGAGAGCAGACCCAAAAAAGAACGTTTAAAATCATTGGATACTTTCAGAGGGTAAGTCAATGTCAACTTTCTAGACTCCTTTAATGGGTTAAGTCAAGTCTCTAGAGACCAATAGGGGATACTTCCTGTCTCTAGACACCATTAGGGATGAAGTTAAGTCTCTAGACACCATTAGGGATGAAGTTAAGTCTCTAGACACCATTAGGGGTTAAGTCAAGTCTCTAGACACCATTAGGGGTTAAATTAAGTCTCTAGACACTATTAGGGGTTAAGTCAAGTCTCTAGACACCATTAGGGGTTAAATTAAGTCACTAGACACCATTAGGGGTTAAGTCAAGTCTCTAGACACCATTAGGGATGACGTTAAGTCTCTAGACACAATTAGGGGTTAAGTTAAGTCTCTAGACACCATTAGGGATGAAGTTAAGTCTCTAGACACAATTAGGGGTTAAGCTAAGTCTCTAGACACCATTAGGGGTTAAGTTGAGTCTCTAGACACAATTAGGGGTTAAGTTAAGTCTCTAGACACAATTAGGGATGAAGTTAAGTCTCTAGACACCATTAGGGGTTAAGTTAAGTCTCTAGACAGCATTAGGGGTTAAGTTAAGTCTCTAGACACAACTAGGGATGAAGTTAAGTCTCTAGACACCATTAGGGGTTAAGTCAAGTCTCTAGACACCATTAGGGGTTAAATTAAGTCACTAGACACCATTAGGGGTTAAGTCAAGTCTCTAGACACCATTAGGGGTTAAGTTAAGTCTCTAGACAGCATTAGGGGTTAAGTTAAGTCTCTAGACACAACTAGGGATGAAGTTAAGTCTCTAGACACCATTAGGGGTTAAATTAAGTCTCTAGACACCATTAGGGGTTAAGTTAAGTCTCTAGACACAATTAGGGGTTAAGTTAAGTCTCTAGACACCTTTAGTGGTTAGGTCAAGTCTTTAGACACCTTTAGTGGTTAGGTCAAGTCTCTAGATGTACACTTGTTTGACCTTTTGGAAACGAATCAGTCTTTTTAAAACTCTTTGATTCTTAACTTAATGATATAAAGATCTCCATGTAGCTGCTTTGTTAATGATATTGATAGAATGCAGTTTATGTACAGATTTTGTATGGTATTGCTGTTAAAATAAATGTATCTTTTATTTTATGATGTGAATTCCTATCTTATCAGTAATGATACTGTTTTGTCTTTTTTGCAGACTTAGTATTGTGATAATGATATTTGTTAACTACAAGGGTGGGGGTTACTGGTTTTTCCACCATGCCCGCTGGAATGGGCTCACAGTAGCTGATTTGGTGTTTCCATGGTGAGTGGTTTACAGATGGGAGATAACTCTAGAATGCTGCTTGGCATGTACATGTAGCTGTATTATGCATGTTTACAGTGATATTGTTTGATACTAACACTGGTTTCTGTCTGTTGTAGAACTTAACTCTTGCTGATATTCTGTTTACTTTTCAAGCTTCAATGACACCTCAGTCATTCAGTGTCAGCCATCATGAAAACTCACACTCCAGATGGCAATACACAGAGCTGAAATACTTTTATTATATAACTCTCACACACTCTATACATGTGTACTCACTTCTGTGTCTCAACTCTCACACACTCTATACACGTGTACTCACTTCTGTGTCTCAACTCTCACACACTCTATACACGTGTACTCACTTCTGTGTCTCAACTCTCACACACTCTATACACGTGTACTCACTTCTGTGTCTCAACTCTCACACACTCTATACACGTGTACTCACTTCTGTGTCTCAACTCTCACACACTCTATACACGTGTACTCACTTCTGTGTCTCAACTCTCACACACTCTATACACGTGTACTCACTTCTGTGTCTCAACTCTCACACACTCTATACACGTGTACTCACTTCTGTGTCTCAACTCTCACACACTCTATACACGTGTACTCACTTCTGTGTCTCAACTCTCACACACTCTATACACGTGTACTCACTTCTGTGTCTCAACTCTCACACACTCTATACACGTGTACTCACTTCTGTGTCTCAACTCTCACACACTCTATACACGTGTACTCACTTCTGTGTCTCAACTCTCACACACTCTATACACGTGTACTCACTTCTGTGTCTCAACTCTCACACACTCTATACACGTGTACTCACTTCTGTGTCTCAACTCTCACACACTCTATACACGTGTACTCACTTCTGTGTCTCAACTCTCACACACTCTATACACGTGTACTCACTTCTGTGTCTCAACTCTCACACACTCTATACACGTGTACTCACTTCTGTGTCTCAACTCTCACACACTCTATACACGTGTACTCACTTCTGTGTCTCAACTCTCACACACTCTATACACGTGTACTCACTTCTGTGTCTCAACTCTCACACACTCTATACACGTGTACTCACTTCTGTGTCTCAACTCTCACACACTCTATACACGTGTACTCACTTCTGTGTCTCAACTCTCACACACTCTATACACGTGTACTCACTTCTGTGTCTCAACTCTCACACACTCTATACACGTGTACTCACTTCTGTGTCTCAACTCTCACACACTCTATACACGTGTACTCACTTCTGTGTCTCAACTCTCACTCACTCTTTACACGTGTACTCACTTCTGTGTCTCAACTCTCACACACTCTATACACATGTACTCACCTCTGTGTCTCAACTCTCACACACTCTAGACACATGTACTCACTTCTGTGTCTCAACTCTCACACACTCTATACATGTGTACTCACTTCTGTGTCTCAACTCTCACACACTCTTTACACGTGTACTCACTTCTGTGTCTCACCTCTCACTCACTCTTTACACGTGTACTCACTTCTGTGTCTCACCTCTCACTCACTCTTTACACGTGTACTCACTTCTGTGTCTCAACTCTCCCACACTCTATACACGTGTACTCACTTCTGTGTCTCACCTCTCACTCACTCTTTACACGTGTACTCACTTCTGTGTCTCAACTCTCCCACACTCTATACACGTGTACTCACTTCTGTGTCTCACCTCTCACTCACTCTTTACACGTGTACTCACTTCTGTGTCTCAACTCTCACACACTCTATACACATGTACTCACCTCTGTGTCTCAACTCTCATGTTTTAGATTGAGTTTAGTGGTAATGTGCTTTGTTAACTACGGTGGAGGGGGTTACTGGTTTTTCGCCCACTCTGACTGGAATGGTATCACGGTGGCAGATTTGGTTTTCCCCTGGTATGTCCTTTCAGTACTATTCATTCACTGATTGCTCTAGCCAAAAGGTTGTGTACTTACTTTCTGTTCATGCATGTCGCACATTATATCATAAAGGTGGAAGTGTCTGCTAATTTCACAAAAATATTCACACGCTATTGCTTAAAGCTTTATATACAAGTAAACCAGCAGCAAAGCCAGTGAACACTTACTCAGCAGGAAAAGTATGAAGTCAAAAGTGTGTAACCTATCACCAATGTGTTCCTGTGTGTTTTAGATAGTAGTTACTCTATATCATTGAGTATGTAATTCACACTGATGTGCAGTAATACAAAAGTTATCAGATACATGTACATATGCATGTTTATAGAGTATGACAATTTCAGTTATTATATCTCATAATTATTATGGATAAATGTTGTTTGTGACAGAAAAAAACCACATATGAGAATAAACATATATAATATATCATGTTTATGTGCAGGGTGACCAAACAAAACAAAATTAGTTTAAACTACTCCAATTTTGTTTTTGAATTCAATCTGCTTACAATATATACTGTTAGATATCTACACTACAATGTTTCAATATCAGTTTACCGTTATTTGAGCAGGGTGTTTAATCAATCCCTATATGCACTTACTATATACAAAAATTAATAGCTTAATGCCACATAAAATTGTTTCTTGCTTTAATGACTAATAATTATTTGAAATATGGTGTAATGGTCCTGTGCTATGGTCCTATGCTATGGTACTGGGCTATGGTCCTTTGCTATGGTCCTGTGCTATGGACCAGTGCTATGGTCCAGTACTATGGTCCTGTGATATGGTCCAGTGCTATGGGCCAGTGCTATGGTCATGTGTTATGGTCCAGTACTATGGTCCAGTGCTATGGTCCAGTGCTATGGTCCTGTGTTATTGTCCAGTGCTATGGTCCAGTGCTATGGTCCTGTGCTATGGTCCAGTGCTATGGTCCTGTGCTATAGTCCAGTGCTATGGCCCAGTGTTATGGTCCAGTGCTATGGTCCAGTGCTATGGTCCTGTGCTATTGTCCAGTGCTATAGTCCTGTGCTATGGTCCAGTGCTTTGGTCCTGTGCTATAGTCCAGTGATATGGTCCTGTGTTATGGTCCAGTGCTATGGTCCAGTGTTATTGTCCTGTGCTATGGTCCAATGCTATGGTCCTATGCTATGATCCAGTGCTTTGGTCCAGTGCTATGGTCCTGTGCTATGGTCCAGTGGTATGGTCCTGTGCTATGGTCCAGTGCCATGGTCCTGTGCTATAGTCCATTGCTATGGTCCTGTGCTATGGTCCTGTGTTATGGTCCTGTGCTATGGTCCAGTGCTATGGTCTGGTGCTATAGTCGAGTGCTATGGTCCAGTGCTATGGTCCTGTGCTATGGTCCAGTGCTATAGTCCAGTGCTATAGTCCGGTGCTATGGTCCAGTGCTATGGTCCGGTGCTATAGTCCAGTGCTATGGTCCAGTGCTATGGTCCTGTGCTATAGTTCTGTGCTATAGTCCAGTGCTATGGTCCTGTGCTATGGTCCAGTGCTTTGGTCCAGTGCTATGGTCCAGTGCTATATCTTTGTTTGATGTAAGTATGGTGATCTATTGAATGTAATATCATTAACAAGTTAGTTACACCTTGTATCTAAAAGCCTTGGTTCTGTTTTGAGTACATATATTTTCAGTAATTAAAATACATGTATGAAATGCATGAAAATAACTTATAATAAGAGTATGAGGTAGGTTTCCTTTGATATATGACTTTTTCTTACCTTTGATATCTGACCTTTTCTGACCTTACATATCTGACCTTTCTTACCCTTGACATCTGACCTTTTCTGACCTTTTTCAGGTTTGTGTTCATCATGGGCACTTCAATGGCCTTCTCCTACAGTTCTCTTCTTCAAAAATGTGTCCCCAAGTGGAAAATATTTCTGAAGATTCTGAAGAGATCTTGTATTCTGTTTGTCCTCGGTTTGATCGTCAACACAGCAGGGGGACACTCACGTAAGTTTGGTTGTCATCACAGCAGGGGGACACTCACGTAAGTGAGGTTGTCAACACAGTAGAGGGAACCTCACATAAGTTAGGTTATCAACACAGTAGAGGAAACCTCAACAATCATGTAAGTTTGATTGTCATCACAGCAGGGGGACAATCATGTAAGTTTGGTTGTCATCACAGCAGGGGGACACTCACGTAGTTTGGTTGTCATCACAGCAGGGGGACAATCATGTAAGTTTGATTGTCATCACAGCAGGGGGACAATCATGTAAGTTTGGTTGTCATCACAGCAGGGGGACAATCATGTCAGTTTGGTTGTCATCACAGTAGAGGAACCCTCACATAAGTAAGGTTGTCAACAAGTAGAGGGACACTCGCATAAAGTTGGTTGTCATTACAGCAGAGGGACACGTAAGTTTGGCTGTCATCACAGTAAAGGAACACACACATTAATTAGGTTGTCAACACAGTAGAGGGACACTCACATAAGTTTGGTTGTCATCACAGCAGGGGACATTCAAATAAGTTTGGTTGTCAACACAGTAGGAGACACTCAAGTAAATTTGGTTGTCATCACAGTAGAGGAACCCTCACGTCAGTTTGGTTGTCAACAAGTAGAGGGAACCTCACGTCAGTTTGGTTGTCATCACAGCAGGGGGACACTCACGTAAGTGAGGTTGTCAACACAGTAGAGGGAACCTCACATAAGTTAGGTTGTCAATACAGTAGAGGTTACCTCACATAAGTTAGGTTGTCAACACAGTAGAGGTAGCATCACATAATTTAGGTTGTCAACACTGTAGAGGGAACCTCACGTCAGTTTGGTTGTCATCACAGCAGGGGACATTCAAATAAGTTTGGTTGTCAACAAGTAGAGGGAACCTCACATAAGTTAGGTTGTCAACACTGTAGAGGGAACCTCACATAAGTTAAGTTGTCAACACAGTAGAGGAACCCTCACATAAGTTAGGTTGTCAACACAGTAGAGGGAACCCTCACATAAGTTAGGTTGTCAACACAGTAGAGGTAACCTCACATAAGTTAGGTTATCAACACAGTAGAGGTAACTTCATATAAGTTAGGTTATCAACACAGTAGAGGAAACCTCACATAAGTTAGGTTATCAACACAGTAGAGGAAACCTCACATAAGTTAGGTTGTCAATACAGTAGAGGGAACCTCACATAAGTTAGGTTATCAATACAGTAGAGGGAACCTCACATAAGTTAGGTTATCAACACAGTAGAGGGAACCTCACATAAGTTAGGTTATCAACACAGTAGAGGGAACCTCACATAAGTTAGGTTATCAACACAGTAGAGGGAACCTCACATAAGTTAGGTTATCAACACAGTAGAGGGAACCTCACATAAGTTAGGTTATCAACACAGTAGAGGGAACCTCACATAAGTTAGGTTATCAACACAGTAGAGGGAACCTCACATAAGTTAGGTTATCAACACAGTAGAGGGAACCTCACATAAGTTAGGTTATCAACACAGTAGAGGGAACCTCACATAAGTTAGGTTATCAACACAGTAGAGGGAACCTCACATAAGTTAGGTTATCAACACAGTAGAGGGAACCTCACATAAGTTAGGTTATCAACACAGTAGAGGGAACCTCACATAAGTTAGGTTATCAACACAGTAGAGGGAACCTCACATAAGTTAGGTTATCAACACAGTAGAGGGAACCTCACATAAGTTAGGTTATCAACACAGTAGAGGGAACCTCACATAAGTTAGGTTATCAACACAGTAGAGGGAACCTCACATAAGTTAGGTTATCAACACAGTAGAGGGAACCTCACATAAGTTAGGTTATCAACACAGTAGAGGGAACCTCACATAAGTTAGGTTATCAACACAGTAGAGGGAACCTCACATAAGTTAGGTTATCAACACAGTAGAGGGAACCTCACATAAGTTAGGTTATCAACACAGTAGAGGGAACCTCACATAAGTTAGGTTATCAACACAGTAGAGGGAACCTCACATAAGTTAGGTTATCAACACAGTAGAGGGAACCTCACATAAGTTAGGTTATCAACACAGTAGAGGGAACCTCACATAAGTTAGGTTATCAACACAGTAGAGGGAACCTCACATAAGTTAGGTTATCAACACAGTAGAGGGAACCTCACATAAGTTAGGTTATCAACACAGTAGAGGGAACCTCACATAAGTTAGGTTATCAACACAGTAGAGGGAACCTCACATAAGTTAGGTTATCAACACAGTAGAGGGAACCTCACATAAGTTAGGTTATCAACACAGTAGAGGGAACCTCACATAAGTTAGGTTATCAACACAGTAGAGGGAACCTCACATAAGTTAGGTTGTCAACACAGTAGAGGGAACCTCACATAAGTTAGGTTGTCAACACAGTAGAGGGAACCTCACATAAGTTAGGTTGTCAACACAGTAGAGGGAACCTCACATAAGTTAGGTTGTCAACACAGTAGAGGGAACCTCACATAAGTTAGGTTGTCAACACAGTAGAGGGAGCCTCACATAAGTTAGGTTGTCAACACAGTAGAGGGAACCTCACATAAGTTAGGTTGTCAACACTGTAGAGGGAACCTCACATAAGTTAGGTTGTCAACATGGCTTGGGGATATACTCTTGTAGTTTGATTGTCAACACAAAGGGAGATGGACAATTGCAACTATATTGAAAACCACCAATAAGACTGTTTGAAATTATGTATTACAGATGCCTGAATAAAAATGACACTTTGTATTAACTTTAATGAAAACTGATGTAAGTATGAGTTTAGTAACTGTGTGTGTGAGACTGACATCTGACCCCTCACCCTCCTCAGCTGTGTCCCTGCCAAATTTGAGGATCCTCGGAGTATTACAGAGGTTTGCACTCACCTATCTCATCACCGCCTCCATACATCTACTGTTTATCCGTGAGACTGACACCTACATGGTACGTGTATTGAATTTTCAAGGAAAACCCTTCCATATATACAATTAATGCCATCTGGAAAAATATACTAGGTTCTTCAGTATATAAAAGGAAAGAATATTCAAATTTAGTCCAGAGTATCTTTGGAACAAGGGGACTCATTATTACATAAGCAAAAGGTGTTGCTTCCATGGGTCTAGCAAGATGGGACCTAAAATGTTAATTTCATGTTACATGATTAGTGCCTGGAGCAAGCACCACCCCTGCAGCATCCTTGGAGTCAGGAAATCAAATGTTATTCACTTAAGGGTGTTGCCCACCTTGGTACTTGAGGGCTGATCCCAATAGAAGAAATGTTTGTAATATTAAAATGAATGAGTAAATTTTACTAAGTATTGTTAGCTTTACCATTTGTCCTTGTTTGTATACAGCACTCCAACTGGAGCCAGGCTAGGGACATACTGTACTACTGGCCAGAGTGGATCACTAACTTCCTGTTAATTGCCTTACACTGTGCCCTGACGTTTGGAATGGACGTACCAAACTGTCCTAAGTATGATTATTTACAAACTGTGACATCATGATTGGAGCAATTGTTGATGTATTTATTTATTTTTTAAATACCACTATAGTTTCTGTACTGTAACCTCAAGGTGATACTATTAAAGTTTCAATTAAGGATTTTTTTCCAGTATTCTGAACCTGACATTTCAGCTGCACAAGTTTAAATGCTGAGGTAACCTGGATTTTGACATTAATAATTTGTCTGTAAATATAAGACATTGATTGGTTACAGAGGATACCTGGGACCAGGTGGTGAGTCTGACCTTGGAAAATATCAAAACTGTACTGGAGGGGTGGCAGGCTATATAGACAGAATGGTTCTGGGGGATAGCCATATCTACAACAACCCTACCTGTAAGGTATGTATACATACCAGCCATATCTACAACAACTCTACCTGTAAGGTATGTATATATGCCAGCCATATCTACAACAACCCTATGTATACATACCAGCCATATCTACAACAACCCTATGTATACATACCAGCCATATCTACAACAACCGTACCTGTAAGGTATGTATACATTTTTACATACCAGCCATATCTACAACAACCCGACCTGTAAGGTATGTATATATGCCAACCATATCTACAACAACCCTACTTGTAAGATATGTATACATACCAGCCATATCTACAACAACCCTATGTATACATACCAGCCATATCTACAACAACCCTACTTGTAAGATATGTATACATACCAGCCATATCTACAACAACCCTATGTATACATACCAGCCATATCTACAACAACCCTACTTGTAAGATATGTATACATACCAGCCATATCTACAACAACCCTATGTATACATACCAGCCATATCTACAACAACCCTACTTGTAAGATATGTATACATACCAGCCATATCTACAACAACCCTATGTATACATACCAGCCATATCTACAACAACCCTACTTGTAAGATATGTATACATACCAGCCATATCTACAACAACCCTATGTATACATACCAGCCATATCTACAACAACCCTACTTGTAAGATATGTATACATACCAGCCATATCTACAACAACCCTATGTATACATACCAGCCATATCTACAACAACCCTACTTGTAAGATATGTATACATACCAGCCATATCTACAACAACCCTATGTATACATACCAGCCATATCTACAACAACCCTACCTGTAAGGTACGTATACATACCAGCCATATCTACAACAACCCTACCTGTAAGGTATGTACCACAGACATGTAATTATACAACAAACCTACCTGTAAGGTATTTATACACCCCAGCCATATCTACAACAACCCTATGTATACATACCAGTTATTTATTCTGGTTTATAATGGCAAATGATACTTTGAATATTACATGTTTTAAAATAACTTGATTGTAATTATAACCCTGAGTTGACAGTTTGATACTTTGAACATTTTGAGCCAGCTCTAAGGCACAAAGGAGTCAGTATGCTAAAATTTCTTCATTTTCCTTGTTTAGAATCAGAGGTGCTAGTTTCAAATACTTTTCAGTCTTGAATCTGTATGCTAGATATTTAATAAGGGGGGGGTGTTGTCACTTTGAATTATATTTCTGTTCATGTTAAAAACAAAATCAACTCTCTGTATAAATATATCAGGTGACCGTTAAGGCCCATGGGCCTCTTTTTTAATGTCTCATGTTTTTGAAGATTTTCTAATTCTATGACCCCCCAATTGAATGGTAACCCTTTTTTTAAATGTTTATATACAAATTTTGACAGAAAACACTGTACTTATAAATAATAACATCAAGGTCAAAGTACTGAAAGGAAAATTTGTAACTTTGCTATTTTTTCACAGGAAATATACAACACAAAGGTTCCATACGATCCTGAGGGAATTCTGGGAACCATCACTTCCTGTTTTATGTGCTTTCTGGGTTTACAGGTAAACCATCAACATTGACTGCTTTTACTGCTGACATGAACAGCATTGCAGAATTTATGTTGAATTATAGTTTATTTATGGTAAATTTAATATTTTGTCTCTGTCAATAAATCGTAATTTTATGTGGAAATATTGTGATGAGTAAAGTTATATTTGATGCAAAACTGGACTGGTTCAATTGCCGACGACCAGATAGGTCAATTTGTTAGAGCGTCCATCTAGAGTTCAGAGGTTGCAGGTTCAAATCCAGGTCTGGCGTGCATTTTTCCTCTCCTGGGACAGTGGTGCCTGTGACCAACATTGTAACAGAGAAATGAGAAATGTGTGGCCAGACTAGGATTTGAATTTAAATCATTATATATGGCATGTAAGACTGTATATACAAAGTGTCATAAACTTAAAGTGTTCATCAATATGTGACGACACAATAGCAATATATATATACACAATGAGTAATAATGATACTTTTGTACCACTGTCTGATTGTTGATACTATATTTATACTTAAGTACTGTAAAGTGCATAATTGTATAATTTAAATGGGGTACCATTATATATATATATTGTATATTGCTTTATTTTTTATGTATTTTCATCTTTGTTTACCATATATTTTAAAGTTTTTGTTTTTATCTTTATAATTGATAAACAATCAGGGTCAGTTTCCATATGTAAGAATAGTAGAGACAAGTACATTATGATATTGGAGTGATAAACAACATGTGAAATCTCAAGTGTCTATAAACTTTTGACAGGCTGGGAAAATCCTGATGTATTTCAAGGATGTTAAAGGTCGTGTGGTGCGTTTCCTGATTTGGGGATTTGTGCTGGTGAGTTTAATCACTACAGTTTAGAACTTAAAAAATTACAAATTTCAATCCATGTAACTAACTACCCTCGTGCATTGTTAACTTGACTGAACTAGCATTTTACCTCTTCATCATCAATCGGCCTTCCTATGGTCTGTTCATCCTTTGCTTGTCCTGAAACAATACTTGCTATTGCTATTTCCTAAGAAGCACATTTTTCTCCGATTTCCTGGAGTGTCCTTGCATTGGTTGTTAGTTGTGCATGTTTAATGTTAATGTCTGACATCACTAATCCATGTCTGAGTAACTCTGATTTCTGTAAAATGCACAAAAATAAACTTAAGATCATCATTTTCTGTTTTGATGAATTCAATTTCCATATTAAAATTAAAATGGGAATAGCCCTACTTTATTTTGGGATATGTTTACGTTCATCGTGATTACACACTTTAGCAGAAACGCTCAGTTTGTTACAGTATAACCTCTATATACAAATGTACCACCACAAATCTCAGAACCTGACAGGGTTATCCCCTAATCAACCTTCTTTCTGGATCAATGGGGTGTAATATATTAAAAAGATTTAAGGTTCATAAGGCCAAAATTATTGATATTTGGCTCAGAGTTACGCATTATCTAGGATAAAAGGCTATCAAGTTCAAAGAAATGACATTGACCCACTGTGAAGGTCATTGATGTGAGATGTTTTCAAACACTGGCCAATAACAGGTCCAGTGGGCCTCTTGTTAGTGATTGCATTTCAAAAATACAGAATTCTCCATAAAAAAAAATGTCATTTTATGAATAAAAATCTTTTTCGATGCAATTTATCTGGAAATGATGTTTTTTACAGTGCCTGATTGCTGCCATTTTGTGTAAATTTAGTAAAGATGATGGCTGGATCCCCATCAACAAGAATCTGTGGTTGGTATATTTATAGGATTGTTGTAATTATCTTCATCAAAACTAGATTTAATCCAGTCATACACTATCAACTGGCAATGACATCCTGTATCACCCGACAAATTTCTTATGGTCCCTAATCTATCTTCATTAAATTTGCTTTTCACATTCAAATTTCCAGAACCTGACAAACAGTTTCTATGGTATTCAACAGAGATTTTAGCTGTTTGGCTACCTGGTGATAGGAGGTTGCATTTGTTACTCACTTAACAGACAGTGAATGCAGTATTATTGATTAGCATGCACATCTGTTCACCTGCGTCAGTAGCTCACTGCTAAGATAAAGGGTACTAACAAGTATCAGTCATATAACCATTGTCACCATTGCATAATATTTGTTTAACTTCATAAAAATCACATGTTGCTATACATTTTACAGAATCATAACTGTCCAAAACTTTAATGTTTGAAAAATAGAAATGAAAAATAATACAACTGTAAGGGTCAAACTGAGGACATGTACAAGTCTTTCACTTTACTTATGTTGTCAGCCAGGAATTATACATTCACAGCATCAAAATTAATGTCCAATCTATAGACGGCAAAGTCTACGACGACATGTGAAGCTACTCTAAACCAGAAAAAAACTCCTTTAGGTTGCTTCATCTTCTATATAGAAGGGAGATTACTCTGAGTCGATAAACTCGGAGTGGAACTCTTCTTCACCACTTTAATTGATGCAGTGGTACCCTTTACCTTAAGGAATAAAACAGGACAATGAATAACAAAGTATAATATTGTTTAAGGTCTCTGTCCTTTGTGCTGTGTCTGGCTGGGATGGCCTTCATAGCTTTAACAGTGTGTTACCTCATGATTGATGTGTGGAAAATATGGAACGGGGCTCCATTTTATTATCCAGGTGAGTAAATAGATTTATCATTTCAGACAAAAACCATATAATTTTGATTACTTTATTTGTACGAGTGAATCATAATTACAGTAAGTTTTTGATTATTGTTACAATACCTCAGTCTGTAAAAGATGAATTGTGGTTATGTTGATGTTTTGCAGGCTTGTTTTTCTTCAGTTTCATGTATTGATCTAAATATATTTATCTTACAGTTTTAAGTGTACTTGCTTTGAAGCTAAGCATGGTCCCACCCATTTCCAGATTTAACTCAAAACATTAAAACATACTACAGGTACCAATTTTCAAATGAATAACATCAAACATTCATCCTTTCCTGAAACTTGAACAAGCTGTTGACAGTATGAGTTTTGTGCCATATGTATCTAGGAATGAACTCCATCTTCATGTACATGGCACACGAGGTTCTGAACAACAGCTTCCCTGTGAGTTTCTCTGTGAAGGCTGACCATGCCCAACAGCTAGCTGTGAACCTGTGGGGGCCAGTGTTCTGGTGTACTTTCACGTTCATGATGCATGAAAAGAAAATCTTCATTTCTGTCTAACTTTTTAGCTGTATAACTGGTGGTACGGTTTATTTATAACCTTTACTGTTCCCTTCCTCTCAATGCCGAACCATCACTAAAATCCAACACTTTCCTAACAAGAAACCTGCCCATTATACACCGGTGCACAGACATCATGCAGATATTTGCTGTACTTAGGACAACATTCCCTATCTCCACGCTGCCAAACACTTGCTTCAAACCAACACGTACTGGGGAATACTCATCCTGACAAAATCATCTCAACGCCATCATCCTCCTGCCTTTTTCTCTGGGACACTAATAAAATTACCCCATTAGGAATACCTGGTGGTCATCTTTTCTGGTCATTTGACTAATTATTACTGATCTGCCAAAATGTCCAATAAAATTGTATTACATTGACCTGGCACAAGCAGAAAAGTTGGGGGGTATGTCTTCTTTATGTCTCCTTCCTTTTTTCCCATTGTGTAGAGAAAATAACAGAATTAAGTGGAAACAGGTGTCTGCATAACAAACAGGACAGTTAAGTTGTGTCTGCTTGTTATATGGGGGAGGATATGCTTATGAGAACTTTATTCTTTCATGGGGAAGGCGACATAAAATTATCCGCTTACCTGGTCTAAATTGCAAATCACACCGCAGGCTTATCCAACCCTATAGTACCTTTATTAACAAAACAATATTTATTTGAAGCAAGATGTGCATTCTTTATATGGTACCAGGAAATATTTGCCACATTTTTAACTTTCACCTGTTTGCCCTCCATTATATATGTGGGCAAATAGATCATTACAGCGAATGTTAGTTAACAACATCATATACGTAGCAATTTGAGGGGCAAAATTAACACTGGGCAATTACAGAATTTATCGGCAAAGGGTGAAAGTTTTACTGGACTAAATTTCTTGGTATTCTGTAATCTGAAATTTATTTGATTATTAATATCACATTATTTCCTTTTATACTAAACTTTGTTAAGCTAAACTAATTTGAATACTAGAAATCCCTGCTAAGTAGTGCTAACATGTACTGATATTTGTTTTACAGGGATGAATTCAATCGTGGTGTATATTGGCCACGAAGTGTTTCACAACGCTTTCCCAGTCCAGTGGGCAGTGTCCTCCACTCACACGGCACTCCTACCCCTCCACCTCTGGGGTACCTTCGTCTGGGTGTTTGTCGCCATCCTCCTCTACTGCAAGAAGATCTTTGTGGCGATCTGATCCCAGCCTATACATTGTAGGTGGAGCTACATCAGTCACGACAGTTGACCAATCGTGTGTGGTCATGTGGTCATGTGGTGTCAGGTTATTTCTACAGAGTATCAGCTTTAATGTGATTTAATAAACAAATAAATAAAATTATTTTTGTAAGAGTGCTGAAAGTGTTTTAATATGGTGAAAGGGATAATTTTATGAATAGAATCAATTATAAACTATGTACTGAAGACAACTGTAATTCTTTGAATTTTAAGATTCGTAGTCATGGCAAAATTTAAATGTTCAAATTGTGGTCATGTATTTTATGCTTGTTAATAAATGTAACAAATATTGTATAGGGTTGACAGCATGAAGGTCTAGATACATTTTTATACCTCCTGATGATTTGTATCCCAGGCAACAAGGTTTGAAGGGGTTACTAAAATTTGCTTGTCCTTCTGTCTGTCCATCCATCCCTCTGTCTCTGTCCTGACTATTCCTCCTTAACTACCAAGCCCATTTCAACAAAAGTTTTGGGAACAGTCCCTGTTTAGAACTTTAATTGCTGATAATATTATTAACAGACTTTTATGAATATTTACATCAATTCTCATATTACTTAATTTACACAACAATATATTTTTGCTTTGATCATTTTAACAGATTCAGGAGTATTAGTTAGCCTTGGCTCACAGTTCTAGTATTTTGAGACACAGCAGATTTAACCTCTGTTTCTTTTCTCGGGATCGATTGAAGTTCCACAGATGTGACCACCATACGATCCTCATCACTACTATATTTGTTATTCCATTAAAGTGAATCTTTTATGACATAATTCAATATTTGATTGAAAGTTTATCATGTTTTAAAGACTTGGTTTAATTTCAAGCAAACAAACTTTTCATTTTTAAATATGACCATTAAATAACATTCCTGTATGTTTTTCTTGACTGAACACCCCAGATGATGTAGCAGGGGAGATGAATCACACATGACTTAACATGACTAGACGATATATGGTGGCCATATGCATGCCAAAGTTAGTTTTGTGTGTGGCTGAAGTGTCATCCACCCTCTAGTGGCCATGACCAAGTGGGTGTATTTTGTGTGATTGGTGTGACTATGGGGCCCAAGAGTATAGTTCTAGAGAGATACCACTGAAACAGGTAGAAATGTTTCGTCATCATGGCGTGTGTGTGTGTTTGTAAGTATATGCATTTTGTAGAATGGGTATGTTAGAATGAATGAGATAGAAAGCTTTATCTTGTGCCAAATTGATAATGGTGTATATAGAAACTTGTACTTTATCGAAATATATGGTTAATGTGATTTATATGAAGACACAACACCTAACAAGAACCACTGGTTATAGGATGTGAGGATCAGATATACTATAGCTCATCTAGATCTGCGTCTCACATCATTTTATATTTTGTATAACTGTGTAAGCATGTATGTTAGAGCTGTTTTATCAAGAGGGATTGTGTGGATGTGATTATTATTACTGTTCTATAATAGCTATTTACTCTTCGTCCTGTGTATCTAAGCCACATAGTTTAAGTGTTTATCACAGCATACACATCATTAGTTAACTCCCTTGCCCACCACAGACACTTATGTTAACACACAATGATGAAGATCTGTCTTTGTTCATAATACATTTTATCACATAATGTACTGTGTTATCCAGTGAATATACCCATGTCATATTTTTTTGTGTATTAACCCATGTAATATGACCTTGTTTCAATTGTGACGTCACTCCTAGGACAAGAACATGACATCATAGACTTCACATTGGAGTCAAAATGGCGGCTTTTTACATTTCAAGGTTGCATGAAAATTGTCGTTTTACACAAATAAATGCCACAAATCTTGAGCATGTGATAAAAATGATCTTACACTCATTTCATTTCATATGAAATTTATGAAACTCATCACAAATCTTTCATTTTAGCTCGCCAGAGGCTTGCTTAATTGAAAAATTCATACGACTTGTTTCTGATCATAAATCATAAATTTATAATAAATCTCATATGAAATGGAAACTCATGTAAGATCCTATATATATTATCTTCAGAACTTTAAAAACCAAAACCTGATGTGTAGTGATATGATGGTAGTTACACCTGTGATAAGGTGTGATTACCTGATCAGATATACAGTACATATATATAGGACTTAATACACTTCCATTGTAATTCTGTAATGTCTGTTTAAAGATTTATACTTCGAGATGAAATTTCCTTTTTGTATCATGATTCGCTGAACACCAATAGAAGTTGCCTGCGGCAGATGTCTTTAAGTATTTAACAAAGAAAACATGAGATACGGTTACCTGACTAAAAGTTCACAATGTTCTCATATCTGTCTTCATTCATTTAACATTATAAATGTGACGTTATGTAGTTGTAGTTATTAAGGACGGTATACACAGGTGAAGGACAACACCCTCCACAACCAAAGGTAAACTGCATTTTGAGAAGTATAGATGCTATTATGTATGTATAAATGTACCTTCATATGCTTATGTTAATTTATTATCTTGCCACTAAATGCCTCGCCCATGTATATTGGATATGTATTTCGGTGCTATATGTATATGATCTTAAGTACCTAACCTTGACTTCCATGAAACAATAAATATGTCTTAACAGGTACTAACAGTAGTTTGATTTTATAATTTATGTGTTTCTTATTTCCCCCTCTCCCTCACCACTCACCCTATACTAAACTTAATTGGAAATATTAATTAAGTTAACATTTGCCATACCCTACACTAAACTTAATTGGAAATATTAATTAAATTAAAATTTGCCATCTTGCTTTATATACGTTGGACAACTTGTGCCCAATCGATTTTGTATAATATGTTTAAATCAAACCACTCACCCTCAACCTTCAAAGCAAACTTCATTAATGCAAAACTGATTTGATTTTCTGTATAATTGAGTAATTAAATGAGACTAATATTATTATAACAAGACGACTACATAGTAATTCATATTACAAAGTTCTGAAAGTACCGCCCCACCGATGAATGTAGCGCTGCCCTGGCCCTTACGTATACGCTGTTGATCATGATGTGTCCGTTAACACATTGTCTTGACCAGATAAACGTCACATATATATGTATCACCACCAGCTATTGTTATGTGAAACATATTTAAATCCGTATCGCAAAACCACAATCTGAAGTAACATGGGTGCAGCAGCTCTACATTGGCAATACCAACCAGTTATTGGACTACGACCTACAGAATAGACTACGACCTACAGAAGGGCCATCATTCTGTCTATAAACCCTGAAGGTAGCGTGACGAGACATGTGTTCTTGGTGAACATTCAAGTGTTCTGGTATTTGTAATTTGGCTTGTTCTGACGACGATTTTGTGAAAGAATCGCACTTTCCTCTTCAGAATTTTGACCAGTAACTTAGTTTCTTTCAACCCATATTCTTCCTTAACAACGTTTCTTTTCGCTGATTAGGGCTTGTGTCTAGGGCCATCATTCTGTCTTCAATGACATTGTTACGGGAATTAGTGACATGGAATACACGATAGACGTTCAACAAAAATCGCAAATAAAGGTACATGTGTATATGACATTTCTCGACGCCTTCCATTAATTATTTACGATTTGCTGACGCCACCAACCAACACAGCTTTGTAACTAGGCTCTAATCCGTTGCATCCTCCAAAACATGTTGTCTGGTGTTTGGGTAGGAAAACAAGCATACCTATTTGATATCATTTAATTAACAATTCAGTAGAATCCGGAATACCCTGTCAACGACTAGGACATTATTGTTTTCAACTAAACTTTGTTTTCGACACTGTGATCAAATAGTTGTTTGGTGATGCTGGCATATAATCATCATACCAGATATGGTACAATAACTGGCAAGATGTAACCGTCTATCACGGTAAACGCCATAGTTTGACCAGTGGTCGTCTCTGAGGCAAAGAAATACATCATCGCTGAAAGGAATAGCTGTGACTTTTTTCTAAATGTATAGCCCATCTCATTCTTGGTATACAACTTGTTTGCGAATATTGTGATATGATTCTGGATAACATATGTATTATTATGTGTCAAGATCCCACATACTTAGGGATGAAGCGAGTCTACTACAAACAATCTTGGTGATGGCAAGGAGAGTTAAAATTATTGACAAAAAACCCGTGTGGAGTTTCAGCAACAATAGACCTAAAGCAGTTCGTGAACATCCTGGTTGTTGTTGCACTGTTCAGAAAAAATAACCCTCTTAGACAAGTTAATGGGTAAGAATCATCAGTCTCGCTCTCAGTTTGTAGCTACTTTCTGCATAAGGTGAACGATATTTCCTGAGCGAATAAAGATCTTAGTTCTTAATCCCATAGACATATGTTTCAGTATATGAGTCATTCCATCCCGATCAGTTTTATAGATTTAATATGATATCTCAGATAAGGATAAACAAGGTATCTAAAACATTTTTTTCGGATCGGACCTTTTGCCTTTTGACGGTGTTTAGTGTTTCCTTGCCTGCTGGGGATAGACACAATATCTACCTCTGTTTTCGCATTCCCGAAATCTTTGTTAATATGTTCATGTAAGTAGGATAGGATATGTTCAATGGAAATAGATCATACAGAAACGTTTCTAAATGACTTACAACAGGAGCAAATCTAGCTATGTGGCACTATCATATGCCGATGTAACAACAAAAACGATGGAAAGTTATCAGGAATAACATTTTAAGAATATTTTCTCCGTTTTCTTAAAAAAATATTACTATTCTTTTAAAAATTAAAATTTCAGTCGTCAGATTTATTAGGTTAAAAACCATGGATACATTTTCACAGTTCTGATTTAAGACCATAAGCAAACTTAAATAGTAGGAAATCGTACTGATGAATATATAGAGGGATTGTTGGTTAAGGTTTATGAATGAGGTAAATCTCTCGTACGGCCTGTGATCTTCAACAAGTTGAAAATTAGATTGAAAGAGTCGGTAAAACGACCACGCAGAGATCTGTTAGGAAAAAATAAAGATGAACGGCGCAAGATGACTTTATTTTTCTTTGTTGCATGTGGTATGTAGACACGTGCTATGTACAATGTACATATACAATAGGCAATGCTAAATGTTAACATTTGTGATGTTCTCTTGAACACACCTTGTGTGCCTACTGATGATAGAAAATACTTGGCACTACAGCTAATTCAAACATAGACATTTTAACAACAATTCGTAGCTTATGACCATCTACAATTTGATTACTGATATACAACTGTTTCCGTTGGAGTTCCGTGCCAAAGGTTCCAAAGCAGCTTAGACTGAAGGATTACATCATATATTAAAGGGAGAACCAATGAATTTATGTACTCTATTGATCATTTATGATAATTTGGCTTTTACTTTAACGATACGTCTACTGGGCATCACGACCTCCACTGTACAATGTAACACAGGAAGCAGCAATCTAGCCGTTTTGTTGGGGGTTTTTTCCAAACAAATTAAAAAATACTATTTTGAAATGCCCAAACAATGACTGTTTAATAGATACGCCCACTTGATAAATGCAATAGTGTGCTTGAAAAGTTCAGCGCAAAACTCCATCGGACAACATCGTAATATCATTACATGTAATAGGAGCTTTCATTTTATTTCATACCAGAATTGTTATTGTCAGCACCAATTCTGTTTTGTTTGTCACATTTACGAGATATATACATGTACTTCTATTGACATGTATATTATAAAGATACCAGATACAGGAATTATGATTATGCGTCGCATATCTATATATACAAGAATATAACAAGACACATTAGCTATACAACGATAATCATATTACTACATTAAATACATAAATAACAAGTATTAACAATCATAATAGAACGGCTTGTTACAAAATTAAAAAAAAAACGTTAATCATATGTGTATGAGTAACTCTTTGTATGTTAAAGTGTCACATAATTAAATTGGGCCTCGTGCCGCTAGATAACCCTTTCGTGATAGCAAACTTTGCCATTGCAGATCATTCTCCAACCTGAATACAAGTAATTCTTGTCTAATTATGACATGCTAGTGCCAAACAAATCCGTAAAACATTATTACAATAGCTAAAAATACTACTACAAAAACTAAATATAGCATCATTACACAAGCTTACACAATACTATAACCAAAATTTGGTAAAACAAAATACAACAGCTTACACCATACTATAACCAAAATTTGGTAAACAAATTACAACAGATTACACAATACTTCAACCAAAATTTGGTAAAAAAATTACAACAGCTTACACAAGACTACAACCAAAATTTGGTAAAAAAATTACAACAGCTTACAAAATGCTACAACCAAAATTTGGTAAAAATAATTTCAACACAATAGCTAACAATACTGGAATCAACATTTAATAAAACATAATTACAATAGCTAACAATAATGGGATCAACGTTTAATAAAAACATCATTACAATAGCTAACAATACTGCAACCAACATTTAATCAAATATAATTACAATAGCTAACAATACTGGAATCAACGTTTAATAAAATATAATTACAATAGCTAACAATACTGGAATCAACAATTAATCAAACATAATTACAATAGCTAACAATACTGGAATCAACATTTAATAAAAACATCATTACAATAGCTAAAAATACTGGAATCAACATTTAATAAAAACATCATTACAATAGCTAATAATACTGGAATCAATATTGAATCAAACATAATTACAATAGTTAACACAATACTACCACCAAACCTTATAAAACATCATTACACTAGCCAATCTTTATAAAACCAAAATACTCTAAACTTAGTTTACCTGTTAATGACTCTCTTTGATGTATAGATATAATGTAGGACATAAGGACGACAATACATAATTAAACATTCGACCAGAGGCAAATCATTCTAACTACAGTTTAGCAGACCTAAACCTAAAACTTCAAAGTTTTGAAGCCTCGAACGATAAAAATGGAGAATAAGACAGACTCTGCCGAACTCATGTGAAGTGACTAGGATACAAGCAACCCCAGAGACACTGGGAAATCGAATAAAATATTCTAAAGAGATTTAAAAGAAACGAAGTCAGAATAATAGACTCTTTAGCAAATTTGAGAGAAGCCAAGATCAGCCACAATTTTGAGCAGGGCTACCGACGTAGTAAGATAATGAAGCAATGATGTGAAATTCCTCTAAACGCCCAACCGAAGTTTACTGGTGAAGCAAATACTTTTCTAAATAAATAATCTATTGAGGCTTAAACTGTATATAAAATATATATCACAATATACCAATATATATATTAATTTAAAAAAAAAGACATACTGATATGTCTACATTGATTTAAACAAAGGTCATCGACACGGCAACGGTGTGAGGGTAATCCATAGCTCCCTAACTCCGGTATCGAAAACAAACAAAATGTCATTTGGTGCACGAGTCCTGCTTCAGTATGCAACACGGTACCATCTTCAGAGGTAAAATTTAGTGATAGAGAACATCAGATATTCCCGGACAAAGTGATGTACGGACAGGGTGTGAACAGAAATACCCTCAAACAGTACCTAGTGAGAGACGCTGTCTACAATACGCACAATAGATTGTATTAAATAAGAAAGTATACATTGAATACCATATACATACAGTAATCAAAGAAATAAGAGAACAATTACTGGGGTTCTGGTATTGTAATATATACCATACGAGTACCTGTAAAGTGTAGTGTGTAAGTACTCATACACTGCATGTTATACGCATTGATGATTAATAGGCTTACACATATTGTATCTCGCCATTTACAGTGTCCTAAACACGAAGGCTACATGTGAAATGACTATGTGATTGTCTCGGCAGTTTTGATTTGAAGTTTTACATTTTATAACATTTTACAATTTACAATGTATTATATATTACACTAAACATCTTACATTGTAGCTAACAGTAAACTTTTTTTTATACCGTAGCACAAGAAAACATTTTTACATTGTAGCATACACTGCAAGCATCCCTACAGTAAAACCTCTATAGCATACCCCTCGTTCCATTTGCCACCTAGCTTACTGCCTACATGTCAGAAGCTCATTTCTTCTCTCATTCTTATATAACAAATCCTTTTCACTTTTCCCCCCATTTTATCAACAAACTCTTCATAACGTTCATCTCTAGACAAATGTTGGCAATATAACTACAGATTTAACATACACCACATATATTTTTATATTGCAACAAGATAACAAAAGGTATACAAATATTTTACGCTCTAAACTAAAAAAAACACTTTTACGTTGCATTTTGCAAAACACCATATTATATTACAATGAACAACAACAACGACATCGGAAGGAACGCAAAACAGGAGTGTAAGAGACGCAATACATGTATATTCTATATTTGCAAATAAAAACCAGGTCTCTGCAAACTTAGTAATTTACGGTAACGTCGATCAATTTTTGCTGTTTCTTAAAGTTGTTTATAATACTATTATCGCAACGCTCTTTTGGTTTTGATTTTCCTTGGTAGGCCGATACAATATGAGCACATCGTAGCACGCGCGGGGAATTTGAAACACTGCCTCTGATTTGACATAATACAAATCAATTCGTCAATGATAAATAATTTTCTTAAGAAGTTTTTCTTTTTCATATTGTTTCGAAATTGATTTATAATGAGTGAATTGATGGATGGACCGATAGCCGATGTGCACTTTTCACGTAAACCGCTTCGCTTTTTGGTGCATTCTGAGTATACTTTTGTTATCGGTTTATATTTCGACAGGCTAATTTACGCTCTATTCCAAGCCTTATGTAATTTGAATATGTTATCTTTGCCATTAGCAGAACGAATCTCTAGATATTATAATTACACTTTGTTGCTTTTTAGTGGTTTAATGGAAAAAAATGAAGTTTCATACCACTTTGTTATATGGTGTATCGTTTTATTATGAGAACTATATCATTTTCTTTCATAATTTTTTAACTGTTTTGGCTGTATTGCCCAGAACAGAACATTTATTTTTTTAAATGTAACGTTAGAATTTGTTTTCGATCTAATTCTACTTTTCATTTGCAATAACAAACCTTATCTCCCATTTTCTAACTAACGAAATAACCGCGGTTTTTCAAATCAAGCTATTTAAAGTTCTTTGATCCTTGTTTGCGTCTAAAATATATTACTACTCATTTTCCAAAGGCACTTATCGTCTCAGTCCATTGACATGCCTGTAATTCAATTATTAAAAGATATCGAAAATTCAGAAACCGATATGAAATCTTAAATTATTTCTATGAAGGAATGGTAACTTGGAAGTAATCTGACTAGCTCTTCATCAGTTGTACATGTACAGCCTGTCACACTTGTCAGCCTGTCATACTTGTCAGCCTGTCACACTTGTATCAGATTAAAGGCTGATTGCTGATCTGGATGCGTTTTTGAACTTGTTAAATCCTTATTTTTATTTTTCTCTTTACATATCTAAAAAAATTACAAATCCTTATCTTCTATCTTTCCCTTTACATATCTATAAATACAAATCCTTATTTTATCCTGTTTATCTTTCCCCTTACATATCTATAAATCTACAAATCTTTATCTTCTATTTTTCCCTTTACATTATCTATAAATTTACAAATCCTTATCTTCTATCATTCCCTTTTACATATCTATAAACTTACAAATCTTATTTTACCCCGCTTTTCTTTCCCCTTAAATCTCTATGTTCATCTTTCCCTTTACGTATTTATAAATTTACAAATTCTTATTTTTGTCCTGTAAATGACAAACATCGTTTTTTTCTTGAAAAAGAAGTAAAGTACAATCGAATACATTTTCAGATGTACGATAAATGCATACACCTATGATTTCATCCGTTACGGATATTTTTTATCAGGGTAGTAATGGGAAAGCATGGATAAATAGATAAATGAACAATATGGTTTACGCATGAAAAAAAATATCCACCATTTTACCTGTTCTTATTTTCATTACCAAAGTTCGAGATAATTGATGAAATTAGTTTTTTTTTAATACATAACACTTCATACACATTGTATGTCAAAGACATTAAAACGAAATCTACAAATATGAAAATATGAATTATATACATTTCTAAATTAAGAATGTTATATACAATTTTTGTAGCCACTATGTTGAAATGAATACTAGATGCACATGAAACCGTATTATTGACCATTATACTACACTTATACATTTGTATAATGAGCATATGCTTACGATAACGTCTGTAGCTTCCAGTTGTCCATTATGGAAAAAATATGTTCGTCAATACCGTAGTTCGCGATTTGAATTGTCAAACAGGTAGTCGCATTCCTCCATTTCCATAAGAATACCCATTGCTCATTTTTTTTATCACATTTTGAAAAATCCGCCTCCCTTTTTCCCTCTCCGATTAGCGTATTATTCGTATACATGCATGGTATCCTATTTCATCATGATTACATTGGCATTTATTCTCGGTCAAGTCTTTTGTTGCAACTTCCACAAGTCGTCCAGTCCTCGTCGCTTTTGATTTCCACGTAGCTGTCACAGTTTGTACATATTATCTTCTCCAAAAGAGCAACGTTGTAGGCTTCATATCCGTTTGAGGTTGTGAATGCCAGAGCGAACTCCACTCGCTCACCAGCGTATGTCTGGCCAAACAGCTTTCCCTCTGTCCGAATAGGAACGAAAAACACCTTTATTGTGTTCAGATTTTCACCGATATCTAGGTCGATAAACCCAGTTTGTCGCTGTCTATTTGGTCTGCGTATGGTGCCTTTCAGAAAGGCTAGTCGCGACGTGTTTGGTTCGCCTTTAACATTGCGTTCTTCTACATGTCCAAGAAATTCACTTACTGGTATCAGAGCCTTGATTCCATTTCCTTTTCCCAACCACTCCCTCGGCCGTCGGGGCTTTGGAAAATACACCTTCTGCAATTCTTCCCTTATTTCATCAGCCTCTTGTAGATGGTCAACGTTTCCTCTAGAGCCATCAGAACCGATCCCAATTATACTCAGTACACAGAAGAGATAGAACTTTGACATTGGACTTCGCAAGAAGCTGTTCCATTGCCGTATTTGCAAAAGTACGTCATCTTGTTTGTAGTTTGGCGGGAAAAGTATATGACGAATCGCATGGATCCATTCTTTGTAGCACATTTCCAGTACTCGCCGTTTCGCGATAAGGCCTGCTTTCTGGATTTCTTCAAAACATTCTTCATAAATTTTGACAAGTTCTTCTATATCGACTTTGCTGGTTATCATTTCAATGACCCCAAGACTCTCTTCTTTTCCATACTTCAGTTTGATAGCTGCTGCTTTAAAGCATCTGGCTGATATGTCTTCTGGTTTTGAAATGTATGCCAGCACAGGCTTATGGTTGTTGAATAGGGCGTTATACATGTTGACATTTTTGTAATATTCATGGTCAAGGTCACTGGCATCCACAGCACTGTAGCATTCCATGAATAATTCCAATATTTCTGTGATACTTTCTTTTACGAAGCGCGCTGGAGCGGTTCCCTCAGCCATCCTCAAATATTCTCCAAAGTTGGATATGCCTTTTGGAAAGTACTTGGCTATAAAATTGCATACCTGTAAACGAACTGTTATTTCGCCAATGTATCCATATCCTTCTTCACTCCCTATGGGTGTGATCTCCCGTCGTTTCGTGAAATGCCTACATGCACAATTAGCCAGTTCTATGATGTGATCAATCCGGTTTGGATACTCATCTTTCGGGGTTTTCTTTACAGGCTTTTCACCAAATCGACCAGTGAACTTACCAAGGCATCTGAGGTAGTGCATACCAAACATGTGGTAAATATGCATCAATGTTATTTTCATACTTTCATTGATGTCGTCGATTATCTTTCCTTTTGTTTCTTTCTTGCAAAGTTCCAATGCTTTTTCAAAACATTTCCTTGCGGTTTCTTCTTCTTCGGGCTGACAAATCATGTATATGCGACCCATATGTGCATGGAAGGTAGGATTTTCGGGGAATGTCGCAACGAGCTTCTCGATGATTTTGATTCGCTCTATGTACGGCGGTTTGCTTTGTATGTCTTCTAACAAAGTTGAAAGAGGCCTTTTTCGCATAGAAATTTCTCCTTCGCCAACATCTTTGTAATCGCGATGCAGAAATGTTCTAGTTAAAGTTTCAATGATGGTATTTGACCTGTTGTTTGACCTCACAGTTCTCTTCTTGCTCTCTTCTATGAATTTGTAGGCGAAGTTCATCAACTTTGATTTTGCTTGCTCACTGAGGCCAATTTGTGCAACCGATTCGTCACATTTTCGTGGCCATGCCAGAATCTGATCAAGAATTACCTTTGCGATAATGTAGTGACATATTCTTATGTTGTTTTTTCTCCCCTCTGAATCGCATGGAACGATCAACTCCTGCACAAAATGTGGGAAGTCTGAGAATGAAACATCGTAGTTCAACGGTTTCCCAAGCATAGCGGCAAAGAATTGGCACGGCATCGATGTCTGTCCATAGTAATATGCCATTGACAGAAATCCAAGTATTTCTTGCCATGGTTCAAGGTTTTGAGTTTTGTTGAACTCTAACTGAAGATAACCTCTTACATACGAGGTAATTCCACGGTACTTTTCCAGAAATGTCGTTAGACCAAATTCATAAACTGAATGGTCACGACCATGATGAACATCCACAACCAATTCCTGCAAAGCATCTCTTTTTGCATCGTTGTCGCACCTATCCATAAATTTCATACCAATCTCCGTTGCTTCTTTCTCCGATACCTTTCCTTTCAAAAAGAATTTGTTATGAGGATGTTCAGTCATGCTTATAGTATGAGGATATCGCTTCACTTGCAGGATGACAATACTAACATGTCCTAGCAACCTGGCCAGCTGCTTTGACAGTTTGTCTTCTCCTCCGTCTATCAACACAACTAATGGAAGATGCGTCTTTTCGAAGAGAGATTCCAAGTTGTGTGCAAGATCTTGAACTGATATTGTAGGATGTATTTTCACCTGTGCACACGGTGATGATTTCCGCAACTCCCAAAGGACTCGTTGCATGAGAGTTGTTCCTCCTGAGCCAGGGGCATGGTACAGTTTGATTACACCAGATTTGAAGGGACCGAGAAATTTTTCCATGACAGTTCTTACTATAGACTCCATGATGTCTCGTTCTGCATCGAAATGACCAGCATTGCATTCGTAAAACGCAAACCAACGCAGAGTTCCTCCTTTTAGGAACTTGTCCCCCTCTTCCTTCAACGCGTCCAAATCGATCGGTCGAGAGCGCGGATAATCAAGGTAGAGTACCTCCAAATTTTCACGAAGACTTGATACAAAGGATTCGTCAAATCCTGGGTTGTTTGTGTCGTCTGATGTTGGAAGTCGGTACAGCGTCTTCATCTGTTTCAAATCGTCGGCAAGAGACGTATGTGATAGAGCTTTACAAAGCTCTTGGAAATCGCACCGTAGTTTGAAGTCTACATGTATGGCTTTGTAGATCCAGCTTTGTGAATTCGAACCATAGGACATCCTTTGTGGATCACATACAATGACAGTAGGGGCAGGCTCGATATACTCTTCCATCTTCAACATTGTTTTATGCATGCATTGCAAAGTTTCTTCGTCTTCGGGAAGGACAATTATGCATTTTACTGTTGTATACGTCTCAGTAAAAGCAGCCATCGTCTCGAAATGCAGGTCTAATTTGGTCTTTACAGTGCGAAACCACTTTCTACTGTCCTTTGGTGTTTTACTGTCTGCCTCTTGAACCGATCCTCTGATCATGCACCATTCAGTACTATAATCGGAAAATTTGGCAGTGTCCTTCCATGTACACGTGTATATTGCACGCATCTTCTTGATCCGTTCCTCCAAAACAGATAGCAGTCCATTGTTACGACTTTCGTCGTCAAAATCAAATACTGCGAGCCAGGGAACAAGTGCAAGACAATCTAGATATTTCATTTTCCCCTTGAAACAAACGAATAGTATGTAATGCCCCCCAGTGAAGTTATTTACAAACTCGAGTAAGTCTCGTGGGTCAGAATGAACGTCTTCTATGTCGTCGGGATTGCAAGATTTTGACTTAGTGAAAGAAATGTTTGGAGGTGGTAAAGAGACTGATGTTGCACTCGTGTGAGTTTTACCACGAGCCCCTACCGCCGCAGCATACGATTTAACTATGTTTTGTCTCCTTTCAGGCACACTTGTTTTGGTTTCAACACATTTTTCATCTAAATCTAACGGAACATCGTCGTCCGAATCTGATTCAACGTAAAGATTTGTGGTCAAGGCACTTTCAGTCGCTTCTTGTACATGAGAAGCTGCTACGGGTGTGCGTATAGGGGCAACTTTGGGCATAACCGATTTGGTTATCGTTTTTACAGAATACATAGATCTATCAAGACATATTTCAAACCGGTCATTATGTTCTTTCAAAAACTTAAGAAGTTTCTTTCCTGTAAAGTTATGAAACGTTTGTTTTACATTATCTTGAATCAATAACATATTCTGGAACTCAGTTTCAAGCTTTTGCAAATTCATTCCCTGTGCTTTACTTGGATGTCGCTCGATAATCATTTCCAAACTTCTCACAATCTTTTCTTCTGGACCTTCCGGCTTTGATGACACTACAATACAAGTCAGAAGAAATTAACCTGATTTCATAGAAGAAATACATGTGAGTAGTCAGTAGGGTAAAGTGTTTTTCATTCCTTGCTGTGTATATCTAAATATATACATATAGGCCAAGAGGTAATATTACCAGTAGCTTCCTGAATAACACTGGATCCTTGCAAATGTAGGTTTGTAGGATACGAATTACTTAGAATTGTATAGGGGGCAAGGAAGTAATTCTTACAGTGTAGACAAAATGATGTTGTCAAATTTTCGGAGCAATCAGCTCCTTCATCTAGACATAGAAAAAACACAAAACAAGCAAACAACTATATACATATATAGTTATATCTAAAAGTAAAACGTCCCTAAATGGAATATACCTGTCCAGTAAAAATGTGACCTAATGATGCTAACATCTTGATGGGTTTTTTATGTACAAAAAGGAAAAGAAAAGTTGTCAAAACGAACATTATTTAGATGGCTTATTTAGGGGATAGTACGTTGTTTTGAGTGGCTATACCGGCGATTAGAACATGAAATTTGGGTTTGAACTCGAGAACGATAGGTCGAGAGTTTAAACCAAATTTCATGTTCTAATCGCCAGTATAAGACACGAAAAACAACGTACTATCCCCATTCTAACACACTTGAACAAATATACTACGCTAATATGTTTAGAAACATTGTATTTCCTTGTACAGAAGTACACACTTTGTGACCTGAACTGGCGACGTGTCATTCTGCAGCGCACTGACCAATCGGAAAGACGCTTTCAAAAGTCGGTCATTTGGCCCCGCCCATACTGGCGAGCGCTCGATCTGTATGTTGACGAGGCGGAATATTTGGATTGTTCGTGAACGTCCTGTTACCAAAGTTTATACGACACATTTGGATTAATATTGACCAAGTTCTTACATTTCCATGTCAGTATTCATAACAATCTGTGCTTATCGACAAAATCGGTGATTATTTGTATAGATTTGTGAAGAGTTTTGTGTAAATGCATACGACACATGTGAAATGTTTCATTTGATTTCGGATTTAAGTAGATGTCTTCACACGGATGGAACGAATGTTTCAGTAATAAATGGAGGTAAGAACAAGGAATGTGTACTTTTTACTTTTTAATTCATTCAACAAATACATTTCATCGGTCGTTTCTGTTCTGTTGCCTACTAGTCTTATCAGCGGGATTTCGCTAAGAGGCGAGCTTGACGCCATATTGTTTTAGTTTGAAACGGGGCGTGGCTTAAGTGCGATGGGAGGAGCTTAACACGATTGATCATGATTCTATCGCAGATTAGAACATGGTCCGTATCCAATCAAAACACGCGTTGCAAACGAATCGTGTTAGAATGAACTTTAATCAATAAGTATGTATTAAATTGTGTATGAGTTAAGTTACACAAATACGTACCAACTGGTGACACATGATCAGCACTGCCAGTGACAGTATTTGTTGTACCAATCATAACAGTACTACAGTTCGAGATATGATAAGCTGCGTGGGTCAGTGATGGTCCTAAAAGAATAAAGGTTGCCTAACTTCAAACAAAACAATGTATTTTTAAAGCAAAATATGTCGAGATGCATAACTGATGCATTTGTTTTTTTTATCTTTTGAAGTTATTCGTTGCTGAATCTTAATTGAATTTAGATACATGTATGTAATATATAACGTCAATGCAAATTTTATACAAAAGAAAACAAGAATTTAGTGTTTCTATTTATTATATCATATAATAAATATAACGTATCCTATACACGTACGAGTTTCCATTTTAGATATGAGATTTATGAAACGAGTCTAAGAATTTGTCAATTTAGCGAGCCTCCTGCGAGCAAAAATGAAAAATTCTTGACAAGTTTCATCAATTTCATATCAAATGAAGATCCCTTTTATCACATATCAAGATATGAGGCATTCGTGTAAAACGACAATTTTCATGCAACCTTGAACTGTAAATAGCCGTTATTTTGACCCCAGTGCATAAGTCTGTGACGTCATTTACTTGTCCTAGGCGGGACGTCACAATTGACAAATTGAAACTTACAACAAATCACAGGGCTGATAGGTCATATTACATGAGTTAATATTCACCGGATAACACAGAACATTATGTGATAAATCTAAATGTGAGCCACGGGATCTCCCTGATGGCAGCCCAGCCCATTATGGGGTTCCCCATTTGTTGTTGAAAACAATTTCATCCTGAAAACATATTTTCATTATAGCATCCATTTGAGAGAAAAAAATATTGGAACTGTTTTCGTATTGACATATCACTGAAACAAGAGAGAACACACGGGGTCAAAAACGGATCTCATTGGCACCCATCCTTTTTAACACAAGTTTTCTGCATTGTGTTGAACAGATGAAATATCAAGGGGTCCAAAAGAGTCTAATTTGGATCAATTCTTTGTTATACAAGACCTATACATTATGTTCAGCAAAGAATTCAACATAATGTTTGCCTGCAAGATTCAAACAACTATATATTATGGTATGCATAGTTGTGTGCATATATACACGTAATATGATTATGTAAATACCTACCTGTCACCGTCGTTGTAGGACCAAACGAAATGGCTTGAATTTCTTTCGTCATTGTGTCCTTATTGTAGACGCTTGCTTGTGAAACGTCTGAAAACACAAGGTATACCTTGAAGGAACTAACATGAAACGAAACATCCCTCCCTGATACCAAGTTACTTCATAAAACGATTAATTAACTATGAATAAATAAAAGCGCTTGCCTATTTTAGACAGCTGACATGATTCTACCAGGTTGTCCTTTCCCATCAGTCTCAAAGTGTCACATACATGTGTCTCTGGATGGTCTATGAACTTCTTGGCAATGTTGTGCCAGTCTTTCAACATAATCTGGGCACAGAAACAGTGGTCGTCCTTGTGGCTCGCATCCAGCTGAGCCATTTGAGACTGAGAAAAGCCCAGTCTCAGACCTAGTTCCCGCCATGTCTCGGATGATCCAATCCCCTCGCTCAAGTTTCTGATGAATGATTTCCATGTATTTTTCACTACAATGCAGGTTGTAAGAACTAGGTGACGTATGCCTGTACATTACAATATTCACCATTATGTATGACATGTATATTGCTGCTTCTCTAGACATGAAATGACTCGCATTGTCGATGGGCCGTTAAACAATACAAAAACTAAACTAGGCAAGCGATGCTAGTAAGGAGCATTCGTAAAGGTCACAAAGCGACTGAATATTGATACACAATGTATTCTAATTAAAATTTCATTTCTCCGTAGAAGAATAATCAGAATCTGAAGCAGCATTAGTGTGTTGCATTGCACTTGTGATGATGATACTTCAATTATAAGAGGGAATTATGCCATACCCGAGAAACTATGTTCGAGAGAAATGAAAAATGAAACTATACAATTATCATGTTGCATACCTTTTCTACTTTTTCTGTCACCAGATATCCTCTGTTTGGCTGATTGACATCTATGATACATAATCGCATATTGCTGTTACTGAAATATAAGCAAAATGAAAATAAGACAGTTTTCCCAATCCAGACAATCATGTAACTCTTCAAAATCCGGAAGTGCACAAAACGAAACTAGTTTTTTCCTGGAAGGATATTTAAGTTGTTCTACTCTATTTGCATTAGTTTAATAAACTTCAGTACATTGTATAGGAATTAAAACGTTTCTTTTATAATCCAAAATACCGTTACTATTTCATTGTGATAGGTTATTCCTATTACACGGCTACATAGGAAGTGCTGAATCTATCAGTGAAAAGTTCAGAGAATGAAATACATAAAAAAAACTTACTTCTACATCTTGTGGTGTTTGCCCTGCCTTGATTGAAATGTTCAGACAGAAATATCAGATAGCCTCGTCACTAGATCAACTAAGTGAGTCCCTTCTGACTGTCCATTGTAATGCACCGCGTCAATACGCATGTGTAACATAGAGGCACATGACACATATCTATTGAACTGAAGTATTACGTCACTGCCGAGCTTTTAAATCTAATCTAGCTCGATAATGGCGGTCATAAAAAGGTTTATTCGTGCAAGCCAACTCATTAAATCAGTGCTTAGTAAATATATAATTTTATAACTTTGTAAAACTGAATTATTAAAAATGTTACTCTTTATTGATTGTTGCAGTTAAATCGAGTTTGGAAAAAAAATGACAGAAGATTTCAGTTATGAACTATTATAACTTATCATTTTTTATAATAATTATTCATCTATTTTACATTCAATGGAAAGGACTAGATGTCTGATTATATTGTATAGGCTAACCTAAAACACTGCGAACACATACATCCTCGAGTTAATGATGAGTGGAAAATTCTGAGATAAGATTAAACATATGTAACACGACCAGGTTAACATTTAAAACCAAGCCTCAATCTCAAAAACAAAACTGTCATCAACTATTATCCTAGTTACATCAATATGTTCTCCTCATGAAAACTTTCCACACTTTTAGATAATAACGACTTTTTTTTCTTTTTTTTTTCACTATTATATGTAATAAGAGTTGCTTCCCTTGAACCACAATTCCAACAGAAGAAAATAAATCTTATTAACTCTTAATGGTTTTGTTGCGTTAAAATGTTTAAATAAATTGATCTGGTCGTAAAAAGGCGATGTCCAACGGTGATGTGGCCATTCAGTGGTCAATTTAAAGTTCCAACACACTGATATTGGACAACATATCTTGTATGATTGAGGAAACATACATAAGACATTATACGAACGAACAGTGCTTCAAACGCGTAGGTTTGAAATTATTTCGACCACTTGCATTCCGAGTCCAAAAAAATGAAAATATGTAAAAATATGCAAAATTAAGACCGGGTTAATTACGATATTTCATCGACGCTCGTGTTAGTGTATTTCATCGAAGCTCGTGTCAGTGTGAGGGCTCGTCATTCATCCTCACAATAAAAAAGGGTGGTCGTAGTTATCAACCTGTATCAAAAACAAGGTATGGCCATTGGAGAAACTGCTAATTGAGAATTTGAGAGTACAGTTGTCACAATGGAAAGTCATGTCATCATTCTGAACATTTGAGCATTTCTTTACATTTTCTCGATGTACATGTACATGGATATACTTCAGGAGAACGTACGTGTACTGGTTAATTATTTCTTTCACTATTTGGCATTTTCAAGGCTGTCCGACTCCGTGTGCACAAAAATCATGTAATTTTTCAAACAAAACGACAATATATTCAATCAATGATCATATTTCACTGACAACCAAGCTGCTTCAACGATTCTATATTTTGAAGGAAAATATTCACTGATCCTAGGCATTGCATTGTTTCGGTAGGCATTCATAGCTTAAGTAACATAAACGCCATCTTAACCTTGTAAGGTTATAAAGTAGCAAAGCAAAATATTCCGAATAATCCGGAACAAAATTTGGTGTCAAAACTAAATAGGATCACAACTAATAGTGAGGGCAAAATACATGATTACTAAATAACTATGTACTGTAATCAGTGCTTATTTAAACTTTCGGTGTGTGTACTAGATGATCTTGTACTGCAATAAGTGTTTGTTTAACCTATACTGTATAAACTAGATAACTATGTACTGTAATCAGTGCTTATTTAAACTTTAAAAGTTTGTACTAGGTTCATTCATTCATATCTTTATTCCTCCAAACATGAAAAGTTATATGAAATACATATTTTGAATAAACAATAGATATAAGAAAATTAATACAGTTACATAAAAAAGTATAATGACTGAAAAATAAGCTGATTGAATGATGCAAACTTACATTTAACGATGGCATAGACTTCAACCAGTATAATACAAAAAGGTTACTTACAGGAACACATGTATTATTGGAAGGTAAGAGCAGAAGCTTTCTCTGGAAAAATGCAAGTCTCGTACAAAAACAAGAAAAGATCATCGTCTTCCTCAAAAAGATCTCGAAAAAGATCCGGAGGAGAGCCAAGAAACGTTGCTATTTGGATATCCCGACTTCTTCAGTGCAACGTTACATGTAGCATGACCAGGGTAGTCGTTGACAATTTTGGAGAAGATGGTATCGCGTAAAGCTAACACTTCTTCGCCAGAGCAGTCCAAGATACAATGTGCAACTGCATCGGCTACAAGCACATTGCATTATTCACATGCTAATTCACAATCTGGAGAAATAATCCAGAGCTTTGCAACATTAGCGAATGTTCTACAAAAGTAGGGAAAACATTTAGATAAAAACCGAATAGTCGAAGGACAGATATTAGTGCTTGTTTTACCAACTATTTGTAAAATATATATAATAAGTGCTTGTTTTACCAACTATTTGTATGATATATATAATAAGTGCTTGTTTTACTAGCTATTTGTATGAAATATATTATTAGTGCTTGTTTTACTCGCTATTTGTATGATATATATTATTAGTGCTTGTTTTACTAGCTATTTGTATGATATATATTCTAAGTGCTTGTTTTACCAGATACTTGTACGATATATATTATTAGTGCTTGTTTTACCAGCTATTTGTATGATATATATAATAAGTGCTTGTCTTACCAGCTATTTGTATGATATATATAACTAGTGATCGTTTTCCCAGCTATTTGTAAGATATATATATAATTAGTGCTTGTTTTACAAACTATTTGTATGATATACATAATAAGTGCTTGTTTTACTAGCTATTTGTATGATATATATTATTAGTGCTTGTTTTACTAGCTACTTGTATGATATATATACTTAGTGCTTGTTTTACCAGCTACTTGTATGATATATATAATAAGTGCTTGTTTTACCAGCTACTTGTATGATATATATAATAAATGCTTGTTTTACCAGCTATTTGTATGATATATATAATTAGTGCTTGTTTTACCAGCTACATGTATTTGTATGAGAAATATAATAAGTGCTTGTTTTAACAGCTTTTTGTATGATGTATATAATTAGTGCTTGTTTTACCATCTATTTGTATGATATATATAATAAGTGATCGTTTTTCCAGCTATTTGTATATATATAATTAGTGCTTGTTTTACCAACTATTTTTATATATATAATTAGTGCATGTTTTATTAGCTTTTTGTATGATATATATAATTAGTGCTTGTTTTATTAGCTTTTTGTATGATATATATAATAAGTGCATGGTTTACCAGCTTTTTGTATGATATATATAATTAGTGTTTGTTTTATTAGCTTTTTGTATGATATATATAATTAGTGCTTGTTTTACCAGCTTTTTGTATGATATATATAATAAGTGCATGGTTTACCAGCTTTTTGTATGATATATATAATTAGTGTTTGTTTTATTAGCTTTTTGTATGATATATATAATTAGTGCTTGTTTTACCAGCTTTTTGTATGATATATATAATTAGTGCTTGTTTTACCAGCTATTTGTATGGTATATGTAATAAGTGCTTGTTTTACCAGGTATTTGTATGGAATATGTAATAAGTGCTTGTTTTACCAGCTATTTGTATGGTTAATGTAATAAGTGCTTGTTTTACCAGCTATTTGTATGGTATATGTAACAAGTGCTTGTTTTACCAGCTATTTGTATGATATATATAATTAGTGCTTATTAAAACAATGGTGAGTCGGCAGTCTGTAAATAACAAGACCTTGAACAGAACTTTGCAAATATAAAAGTTCATTACAATCAGACGCGAGTCTAAAACTAGGTTAGCAGTAACTACGGCTTATGTGTGATGTAATAAGCTTCTGAAACTCGACTAATTGCTTTAAGAAATCCGCTTTCCATATTTACTTTACAAATCAATTTTAGTGGTATTGATTTTTTATTTAGTTCCGTTTTATTTATCGGTATGTTGTAGACACGTCGTTCTGTGGTTTACTGTACATAGAGGTTCGAATACAATTCTAGCAATCATCTGCATGTTACTCGACAAAAATCAAATTATTTCATCCGTTTGGATTTCCAGAAGCTTTTAACTGGTAGTAATAGTACCGATATTTAAGCTAGATAATCTGTCTGGGAATTCACTATAGTACAAACGCTTGAGTTAACTTGGGTGAACCACACTTCATACTTTCTTGCCAAATGTTCTTAATTTGAATCAGGTTAAATAGTCGAAGTTCAGTTTCACATTAATGTATCTAGAGAATCGGTAAATACCACGAGTTTGTTAGCTAATGCTTCCGTTAGGCTGAAGTTTTTACTGAAAACGTCGTTTTTACCGAAAACCTGTCAAGAAAACTTGAGCAAGTGACGTAAAAAGGTAAAGATAAGGTTAAGCTGATGAAATACATTTTCATTGGTCTGCCGAAAGTTCCATAAACTCACTTAATTCATGATCGTGTACTTTTTATAAACTACCCAACATGTCAAAATGATCAAGGTTTCTGTTACTATAAAAAGAAACTGAAGTTTCCTTGAACAGTCTTTCCAATCTGAAGACTTGCAACCTCTGATTTAAATAATCTGTAATGGTCAATGCAGCACTGCATGATTTACCCCTGTCTAGGCCATATTTGTATAGATTTACAAGCATTTTGTATACAAAATTCAGAATTATTTGTTGGTATAAAACATGGATAACGAACTGCTAAATCATTAAAGCTACATAGGTAGATTTATGACTACAGGAATGCAATCAGACCTAAGCTAGCATAATTATGACCACCGGAATGCAAACAATTTGTTTGGTTATCACAAAGTTATCTTTTTGTTCTGTTTTGTCATGGTTGCTTTGGAGCATTGCATAAAACATGGCATATCTATGGTTTTATTTTTTCTTATTGTCTGTACAAGCATTCATATGTAATACAAACATTCTTGTATGCTTCAACTAAAGTTTGTTTTTCAAAATGAAAATTGCATCCAAGTCTTATATGCCATTGTCATATTTCAAAAAAAGTCCTAATTACTACATGTATAATGATTATCAATCTTTAAAATTTAATGTCATTTATAGTTTCAGAAACCCTCCTTCTTAAAACGTAATAACAAATGCAAATTGGAAACAGTAAAATGGGCAATTATTTATGTGTGCATTTTATTTCAGGCAAATATCTTCTTACTTAGAAAAGCATAAATTCAAATGTGAAAATGTTCAACTAGAATCACAGTTCTGCCCTAATAGTGGACAGAGCTAAAGGTAACAATTATTAATTTGACAAAAATATTCTGTACTTGATTAATTATTAATCCATTCTGTGGTTGACACTGAAAGGCTGAATTAAGTGTTGGGGCTCTTAACAAGTCTTGTATAATTTTAAGTAAAGATATGAAATTTTAACATGTTATTATCTTCACAGAAGTACAAAAAAACAGAAAGCAGGTGTTCAGATTTCATTTTTCTCAATTTATTTTAGTGACATTTATATACAATAAACATGTTACCATGACAAAAACAAAATATTTAATCTTAAAATTGCATGATCATTGTTGTAGCCTACAGACCAGGTAGCTACCTATCTTTACATAATTTACATATATATATGACATATATATTTATTATACATATAACTGTAGCTTCCCACTCATTATGTATCAAATAAACAAGAATGTCACATCTTTATGATAAATGACAAATTCTGTAAAAACTGACATGCGACATAATCATGTATAAAGTGTTGAGGTTCAAAGAAAACATGTGAGAAAACGAAGCACTCATAATCTCCAATGTACATGCATGTCATCAATTACACACCTGTACTAGCATGTCGTCAATTACACACCTGTACTAGCACATGTGTCATCAAATGGTCACACACCTGTACAAGCTCACGTCATCAATTGCTCACACACCTGTACTAGGATGTCAGCATTTGTTACACACCTGTACTAGCACATGTCATCAAATGGTCGCACGCCTGTACTAGCACACGTCATGATCACTCGCACACCTGTACTAGCACATGTATGTTGTTGATAACTCGCACACCTGTACTAGCACAGGTCATCAAATGGTCACACACCTATACTAGCACATGTGTCAACAAATGGTCACACACTTGTACTAGCACATGTATGTTGTTGATAACTCGCACCCCTGTACTAGCACATGAGTCATCAAATGGTCAAACACCTGTACTAGCATGTCGTCAATTACACACCTGTACTAGGTCAGGTCATCAAATGGTAACACACCTGTACTAGCGCATGTCATCAAATGGTCGCACGCCTGTACTAGCACACGTCATCAAATCGTCACACACCTGTCCTAGCACAGGTCATCAAATGGTCACACTCCTGTACTAGCACACGTATGCTGTTGATCACTCACACACCTGTACTAGGATGTCAGCATTTGTTACACACCTGTACTAGCTCAGGTCATCAAATGGTCACACACCTGTACTATCACACATCATTTATCACTCTTCCACTTGCATAGCATTTATACATTCACATACAAGTTCATACACACACACTGCATATGGAATCAACAACTCTCAGAAAACACTTCCCCATTTGTTAAAATAAAGACACCACCCTTCCCACTTAAAAAAAAAGATGCATCCCTTCCCCTCTATGAAAAAAAAGTGACACCACCCTTGCCCGAAATTAGCTGTAATTACCCCATTATGGCACTGATCATTACATTAATGAAGAGTAAGATGGATTAGGTCAATCAGAAAACTTCCTTGCTTGAAAATTCTACTTAAAAAATGTGGCACATTGATTGCCTTCATCAAGTTAAATTTAATTTGTGTAATGTGATTCGTGCTGCTGTAATGGAATCTAGCCATCTGTTACCAGGACTTATCAGGTTTCAATTAAAACAAAAGGAAGAATGAGTAAAACCTGAAGTCATACGGCATCAAATCCCTGGGTCAAACGAATAGGTGTACTTTTTAGCTTGGAGCACGCTTTTGTCTCACAATGATGAAGGCATTGAACTCTTGTCTTAAAGGTACATTTGGCGTGGAGTGGCAGCAATCTTAACATACCTTGGCCCACTTGTATAAAACATCTCAACTCTTGAGATTTCCTCAAGTCTGAGATTTCCCATAGACAATACATTGCTTGAGATTTTCCTTAACTTTGAGATGTTTTATACAAGTGGGCCCTGGACCTCAGTATGACAATATCTGGATGCAGGGGTTAAAAATTCATTGTTATCCTTTAATAGATATTTTTCCCTCTAGGATCATTTAACATTCACAATGAACTAGACCATCAAACTATTAGTTAATCATCGAACAAATTGTTGAAAGAAACATTGTTTTCCTTTCAATTAAATATATGCCCCCTCTGATAAATGATTTGACCTACAATGACATTCATATTTAACGACAAGCTAATGACTTCAGCCTTGACATAAAATTCAATTTGTTCATTATATACATTGAACTTTTTAGTATTACACTTAAATTATGCTTCGTCATTCCCTATGCGTGATAAATTAAAAACTTAAAACATTAATATATATATATATATATCATAAATTAATAACACAAACAATTTTTCCAGAATCCAGTACTGAATATAAGATGCTTACAGATTAGGTCCCACCTTCATCAATTTTTCTGAGAGAAAAAATACATTGATGCTTTTAAGCATTCAAAATTAAAAATAGCATTACTATACTCAATAAATTAACATGGCTTCCTCGAATCATTAATGGAGAGACATACCACTCATTCACACTACCAACTGACCGGAGCCTACCAAACACAGCACGAGTGCCGTGCATGCCTTACTCCCCTGTGCCATTGCTGCGACACCATCTCTGTGATAAAGGGACTCCTGGCTCCACCTTGTGGCACACATGTCAAACAAGGGGGAAAACAGTTACACACAACACGCAGAATAATTGACAAGAAATTTGTAGCAAAATGATTAAAATAAAATACAATTCAAAATGATTTCCGGCCAGGAGACCATTTGATAAACAGTAGATGAAATTGTTTTTGACAAGAACCATTTTCTATGCCATATAAAACATGTTCTGAAGAAAAGCTATCATTTGGAAATGTTGACACTTTGGTGTGACACATACAATTGTTTCCAGTGTTCTTTCCCACTAAAAAATGGCTAATGATGCCCACACATGCTAGATATTAATAGCGAAGGAGACTTGCCAAAATGTGCACTGGCATGATAAAGAAACGGTGATATCTGAATGATTTAGGGCATATATACATGTCAGATGATGATTCATTCGCAAATAATAGCTTCTTTTCTTATGAAAGTTTAAAATGGGAATGATGAAAGTGATGATGGAAGCACTGCATTGTGTTGGGGTGAACATTAAATATTTATAATAAGGACAATAATCAAGTGAGGGCGACAATGATGTGCGTAAAGCCAGATCATCAAGTGAGGGCGACAATGATGTGCGTAAAGCCAGATCAATAGTTTGACAACACGGTTGTGATATATTAGATCATTACTCAGCGATTTATTTCTGAATTTCATATTAGCACCATCTGTGAGGGGAAAAAGCCAGCAGGTAACCAACTATATATGATAGGCATATGGAAAACAGACTGACCAACACTTCACATAGACAAAGATTCAAACTACTACTCTCTGTGAAACAGTGTTTCTTCAAAAACATTTTGGAACATGTTCAACAACATTTGAAAAATTCTTTGAAATATAGAAGTGATATACAAAAATTATAGAACACTCAAATAGATTAAAAAGAACCAAGTTCAACAATTCAACAATTCTTGCCTTTTACAGGAATCATAATGGAGGTTCATCTCCCCTTATCTACTGGTCATTTATCTATTTTAGTAAACTATTTCAGAGTTATAAGAAATAACACATTTCCTCTCAATGTTTGAGTGCCAGCTTGAGCATACATTTTACATACACACTAAAAGCACTTTTTTTCAGCAAGAGAGGGCATTTATCACCTTTTTATGAATTGTCTTTTGATTCCTATTACTTATGTATAATCAGATAGAACTAGAGACATGTCTCACTAACTAGCGTTTAACAGTGTCTGTAACGTGAAGGTCAACTCATTTTACCGAGAGCTCAGTTTAGCAGTACAGAATGAATGTTTGCATACTGAGAGGTTGAAACATGTTTGAGAGCAGGTCATAGTGTTATCAAGTACAGCTATAAAATGGTGACAATATGGTGTGTTCACACACCCATCTAGGTGGCAAATGAGTTAGGAGAAATGAGATACTGCACTGCTACACTTATAGACTGGTGTAATACCCTAATGAGACGAGTGATGGCCCCTAAACTGTTGTCAGTGTCGACAATCCTGCGCACACACATACACACATCGCCCTGTCCCCTCCGACATTATAATCCCCTCCATTCAGTACGCTGTCGAAGGTCAAAGGCAAGTACAATATCAATTGGCCTTTTATTCAGAGAGTCATTTGATTGTAAATATGCCCACACTTTCCATGTAATATTCAGTGTACAATTGACCATTCATCTAGGGTTTTATAAGATACAAAATGACTAGAAAGTATTTGAAGAATATATATATGCGCTAATGTTTTGTGAAAAGTAGACTAATTTTTTCTGAATAATTCAATTTTTCAACTCGACAGTAATAAAATTTAGCCCATATTGATTAAATGAAATTGGCCAGGTTTATATACGCCTTGTAATTGGTGAGCTACCTTTTGATATCCTCACCATTAGTTCCACCAGCTTTGAGCCATTGCACACCAAATTGACGCATCAAAGAATCGTGGTGTTTCTGCCAGGCCATACCTGGGACAAGAAGTACTGTAGATTCAGGATTACACCTGTCAGCCGGCCATATTCAGCCATTATTTTGATGTGGTATCAATCCCTGTACCACCACACAAAGGCAACATTATGGGAGAGAATGTGCATTACCTCAACATAAATTGCACCCTGTGACCCCAGTAATGTGATGCCATTGAAGTTGAAACAATTTAAAACTTCATCTGGTAGTTTAGCCTGTACAGGGCCCTAGGATTAGAGCGGTTATTTAGACATATCAGGTTTAACTTTGTTTTGGTTGCTTGAACAAATTACTCTTGTTATAAACCTCAGGTTTATCCCACGGGTAAAGAATTGCAATCACTTTCTCCTGTGCACCAACATAAATAATGACTCAATTTATTTTCATTCTTATTAAGATATCCTTTCATGATAATTCTTCCTACAACCACATCACCTTAATTACAGTTCAAATTGTTATACTACCCCAAGACAGAAAATGTGAATGTTTTTGTTTCAATAGTAGTACATGATTTATCATTATCAATACATATGAAGTTCAGATGTAGTATTTTTACAATAATAATATAATTCATAGCGCAACACCCTGGTTGTATCAACGGCCACGTGTTTGAATTTCATGTCTGACAAAATATTGACAATTTGTTTTTACACATGTTATAAGCACACATGTGAGGGTTAAAACAATAACCGACCATCCACACACACATTTGGCAGTTTGAATTGTAGGACAATTCATAATGTTATTTTATCACAATATTTGTTATCCTATCAACAGTCACCAGTGAGTGATGGTGTCATTTTTGACACAGATCACAAAGATGACCTCTTCGTTTGTCCCAGTTGAACACAACAACATTATCTCCACTGAAGATAGTGTATATACACCACATATCAAAGTTTATCTATGTCCATGTATATGGGGGCACTTTTTCCTTGACCTTTGACCAAGTTAGGGGGTTCAAAGGTTGACATTTCCGCCGACAGAAGTCATCAGTCTCTGCCAGGTCTAGGAAAATGCTTCTTTGCCTGAGCTCTTCTCTCATTTTGTTGTGTAGAATAGTTTTGTAGGAATCTTTCCACTTGTCTACCACAAAATCCAAACTGAAACTCCTAGAGTTGATTAATGACACTACTATTAAAATCTTTTTAAAAAATATATAGTTAGTGTGATAAGTCTTCATCTTCCTTGAAATAGCACTCTTTAAATTACTTGGCTGAGTTTCATTGTAAGTATAATACGGATTTTGTGTAGGCATCACCTCCCATGATAGGCATCAGCAGACATTCAATACGAGGTTATATTGAGCACCCATATTAGGCCGTTGTTTCATCGAGACATTCTAAGCACTACGAATGACAACTTATGTGGCAGCATTCATGAATATGATGCGCTCATGACATATATGAATCGACTCTGCTACTTTTTTGAACATGATATAAAGACCATCATGTCACTAGTTTATGCATCTCATTATTAAATGTCCTTATAAGGACCGACTGGGTTGCTGTTTGGTAAAGTAACCAATACTGTCCTAGTTTGCAATAGTTTCACAAACCAGTCAGCCTTGTGGAGCACCAGTGATGAGTTTGGTTATGAGACATATCTGCCCTCCGAGTCGGAACTCTTTGGGGTGTGCACAGCCTCCCGAGGCACTCGACGAATATTTTCGCCTCACACACGGAGGCTGCACACCATCACAGCCACACTTGCATAGGTTATAGAAGTATTGTCCTGTCATCAGCACACTGACAAAATCATAACCATGATCCTCGGTCCTCCTCAAGGACAGACGCCGCGTCCAACCGACCCATTACACGGAAAATGTTCATTAAGTCTGTAACAGCCGTCTCCTCTCTGTGTCGCGCCTCCCACAAGTCGAGGATGTGTTCTGTTGGCGACCCTTTTGTAGCAAAGAACTGAACATACCTGTAAATGAAATAACACACCATTAAAATCTGTCAGTTTTCTATTCAAATAAAGTAGCTATATCACAAAATGTAGCCGGGTCTGGAGAGAAACTTTGAAATATCTGAGCATTCATTTTTCGGTATATCAGAATAAGTTAAAGGAAGAGAATCCAAGCTGTTTGGATTGTATCTCCAGAGAATATGAGTTTGCTTGTTTGGAATGTTGACTTCAGTATACATGTACCTAGGGTATTTGTGCTTGACTGTTAACTTTGGGAGCCCTGAACACCTGTTTAACTATGGGCTAGATAATATGTTTTATTGCCTCGAGTGAAAATCTTCCTTTTGTTAACCAGGAAATTCAGAATTATATTATAAGCTAAATTCATAAAAAAAAAAGGAATATAGGTGAAATGAGAGGGAAGCGTAGAAGAAACATAGTGGATGATGTTACAGGTAAACACAGTGCCTACACATGTATCACAAGAAAACTGTAGATAACCCCAAACAAACCTAGCCCCTCCCGTACGCTATCATAAGTAAACTGTAGATAACCCGAAACAAACCTAGCCCCTCCTGTCCGCTAACATAAGTAAACTGTAGATAACACCAAACAAACCTAGCCCCTCTCGTACGGTAACATAAGTAAACTGTATATAACCCCAAACAAACCTAGCCCCTCTCGTACGGTAACATAAGTAAACTGTAGATAACACCAAACAAACCTAGCCCCTCCCGTACGGTAACATAAGTACAAACTGCAAATGACGTATACAAAGTGATTTTTTTCTATCATCAACCCAAGGTATTTAAGCTACATTTCCTATTTTTTTTATACCAACATAATCCTTCTGCCTTTTTCCCCCTAGTCATTTGGGGAGCTGTCAGGATTATGTAGTCTTACCAAGGAAAATCAAGTCTGTGAAACGAGGCTTATACACACTCTATGAAATGCACATGTAAAGAAATTTCAAATCACATGCCATTAGCCTCATGCTGCTCAGTCGGCTGTCTAGGTATCCCCCCAATATCTCTACCCTCCGTCCTCCGAGGGAGGCAGAGTGATCCCCCCCTACATCGTACACATTACTGTTTTATTAGTATCCTACCCTTACCCCGTGTAAAAAGTTAGATTTATGACTCATAATTTATAACAATTTTTTTTCCAAATTACTCTTTTATTTGTTAGACACAAACTATTGATATTTTTGAATCAAACATACAACTGTACAGGAAGTGAAACATGTCTTTTCTCAAAGTGAAACTAAGTTCCTGTTTGTGTAATATTTGTCTAAGTAAGCCTCTCACTATCTGATATAATCTGTATCTAATGTAATGATTGATATCAAAATGTGTCTGGTTAATTGCTATTTTCTAACAGTACCTCAATAGAAGAATCATCAAGCCTGTTCAATAATTACAGCCACAGATCCAGTGAGGCAATATATATATATAAAAATCTACAGGAGTTGGCAACCAAGGCATTCTTCCAATTTCAATCATTTCCGTTTTCCTAAAACTTAAACTTAACGACATGCCTCCGTAGGATTTGAAAAGATAGAGTACACTGCTCATCATTACCCCAGTAGGAGACTATTGATGTAGAGCCCCCTGTTCATGTGTGCCCGCTATTGTTTCCACCTCACTGTGTTCAGTCTGATTAATGCCGTAATTAGATTTACCTAAATTCATTGATCTATTTCTGATTCCTCCATTATTGATGGAGATTTTACGAATGCCACCAGGTCAGACTGGTAAATTAGTTAGTAAAATGGCTGTGAAGTTCTCCCTTTCACTGCTCATTCCCAAGCTTATTCTCACTTATTGCTTTTTCCATAGTTAGATATTTAAAGTTTTATAGACTTTGTCTATGTATTGAATACCTACCTATCTACTGTGAGGGCCTGAGCTAACATCCTCCAGTCATTACCCCGAGCATTGGGAGGATCTAGTAACATGCACAATCTTGTCCTTATATGTGTTGGCAGTCGGAAGTTTTGACCTTGAGGGTCGAGCGTTACCATGGAGCTGAACCCTGAACTGGAATTGGTGGTAACTGTTGATGACCTCCCTTTGAGTGTTGAGGAGGGCGTGGAACAAGATGTTGATTTCTGGAGTAAAAATAAAATAAAAATATTAATTTCAACATTTCTTCTAGAAAATATCGATGAAAGTTAAGTCTTAAATCTGAAGTATGATGGAAAAAAATTATAGATGAATTTAAAAGTGACCAAGCTGATTCTAAAAAGAAATTTGGACACTACAACAAGAGAACTGCGGGCAGATAAAGGGAGACAGCTACATTCACACACAATCATTGGGAAGATGGACAGGCAACGGGAGCTATACACCTAAATGAAGGGAATGTGAACAGGTAAGGGAGACAACTGACCTCTTTAAAGTTGTTGCTGATGTTGAGGACCTGTCTATTACTGAGTATAGCTTTCTGGTAGACCTGTATTTTACAGCTAACTTTGTGGTAAGCCCGGTCCACCAGTTCCAGTGAGAACGAACAGTGTAGGTTGTTCTGAGTCCCACTCCAAATGTGCTGGAACGGAATCTCCTGCAAGGACAGAATATAAGCAATATTTATTAATATTAAAACCAATCAACACATCACTTCAACAAATTACTAATAAGTAGCATACTAATAACATCAAGTTTTTAAGAAACACCCCGCTGTTGGTTTTTTCATTTATTATGCTCCTTTGAATTCCCTCTGATAATTGTATGTGAATACACTATGATTATCGTATTAGTCCATGGATTCACCACTGCCAATATATCAAAGTATAAGAGAAATATTACATCACATTTCCTTAAAAATAATATGCACATAGGCTAAGTCAATTAAAGTTAATGTGATCTTCAGGGACATATCAAAATGGATTGTTTGAGACCTAGTTACAATGTCTACCTTGCTAAAACACTATTGACAAACAGATATTTCATGAAAATTGAATATTCAATTATATAAATGCGGGATGCATGAAGTACCCCTCAGCCATTTTAAAATGAATTATATTAAGAGATTGTTGGTATGCATAATGCAAACAGTGATCAAATTATGCAGCGATATATGGGCACTAACAACAGAGGGAGTTTGATAGTTGCATCTGTCATACTGACACAGGAAAGTGAATCTATTTTAATCAAATCTGTTGGAAAACACAATCGTCAAGTCCGCATCGGGAGGGGTGGGTCTGACGATGCTTATATCAGCTCCTTTTCATCTGTTATTTTTTTTTATATTACCCTTATAATTTATGAGCCCCTATACAAAAGTTTGACAACGGGAATTCCTCCAGTGACCCTGTCACTTTGTAACCTAACTAAGGGTCCATGGCATTATCCCGGCTACAAAGGGAGAGAAGTGAGTGTCAGTTTTATGTGACAGAGTTGGAGATACACTGCTATACTACACCATATAACAACATGGAATGCTTTACACACAGACATAAGACCATTTTATTTTCTTAATTCACCTAATCTCTTAACACCTCCAGTTTCTGGTTAACATAAATCAGTATTTATGATTAAGAAGTATTTACTGGTTGACCAGTTCACTAGTACAATTTTATCCTATTGTCTCTTGTTTGACTTGAAGAAACTATTTATTTGTTTTAATTTATGGATTTTTTTTGTTTCCAAATTCGCTAACTTTGCTAAATTTTCACCCTCTAGCATGGCTGTACATAGTACAATGCTAACACCCTATCTCCAGTGGCAGTATATAGTACAATGCTAACACCCTATCTCCAGTGGCAGTACGTAGTACAATGCTAACACCTTATCTCCAGTGGTGGTACATAGTACAATGCTAACCCCCTATCTCCAGTGGTGGTACATAGTACAATGCTAACCCCTTATCTCCAGTGGTGGTACATAGTACAATGCTAACACCTTATCTCCAGTGGCAGTACATAGTACAATGCTAACTCCCGGGCTCCAGTGGCAGTACATAGTACAATGCTAACCCCCGGGCTCCAGTGGCAGTACATAGTACAATGCTAACGCCCTATCTCCAGTGGTGGTACATAGTTCAATGCTAACACCTTATCTCCAGTGGTGGTACATAGTACAATGCTAACCCCTTATCTCCAGTGGCAGTACATAGTACGATGCTAACACCCTATCTCCAGTGGTGGTACATAGTACAATGCTAACCCCTTATCTCCAGTGGTGGTACATAGTACAATGCTAACACCTTATCTCCAGTGGCAGTACATAGTACAATGCTAACTCCCGGGCTCCAGTGGCAGTACATAGTACAATGCTAACGCCCTATCTCCAGTGGTGGTACATAGTTCAATGCTAACACCTTATCTCCAGTGGTGGTACATAGTACAATGCTAACACCCTTCCTCCAGTGATGGTACATAGAACAATGCTAACACCCTTCCTCCAGTGGCAGTACATAGTACAATGCTAACACCCGGGCTCCAGTGGCAGTACATAGTACAATGCTAACACCTTATCTACAGTGGCAGTACATAGTACAATGCTAACACCCTATCTCCAGTGGTGGTACATAGTACAATGCTAACACCCTATCTCCAGTGGCAGTCCAAAGTACAATGCTAACATCCTATCTCCAGTGGCAGTACATAGTACAATGCTAACACCCGGGCTCCAGTGGCAGTACATAGTACAATGCTAACACCCTATCTCCAGTGGCAGTACATAGTACAATGCTAACACCTTATCTCCAGTGATGGAACATAGTACAATGCTAACACCTTATCTCCAGTGGCAGTACATAGTACAATGCTAACACCCTATCTCCAGTGGTGGTACATAGTACAATGCTAACACCCTTCCTCCAGTGATGGTACATAGTACAATGCTAACACCCGGGCTCCAGTGGCAGTACATAGAACAATGCTAACACCCTTCCTCCAGTGCTGGTACATAGAACAATGCTAACACCCTTCCTCCTGTGGCAGTACATAGAACAATGCTAACACCCCTCCTCCAGTGATGGTAAATAGAACAATGCTAACACCCTATCTCCAGTGATGGTACATAGAACAATGCTAACACCCTTCCTCCAGTGGCAGTACATAGTACAATGCTAACACCCTATCTCCAGTACTAGTGGCGATACATGGGGTAATGCTAAAATCCCATCCCCTGAGATGGTACAGTAGTAGAGTGCTAATGGCAGAAATTTGCAGGGCAAGAAATCGGAGCTTAACTGTGTCATCTTGGTTTAATAGTTCATTTATTACCATAAATGTAAAAGTAATCAGGGTATGATCTCCCAGGCAAATGAACAGTTGACAAAAGAAAGACTCATAAATCATAAGCGTGACAAAAGTGTCTTCAACTGGGGGCATCTGTTTAAACAAATCCCCTTCAGAGCTAGATTTATGGTGTTACCAAAATGATTCCCCTATGGAAATTTAACAGAACCTATTTTTCATGTCTTCAAAACTCCCCATGTGGAGATGATAGTTGACCAGACAGGGCTGACCTCTAATGTGAATTAGCCCCTCCATGACCTTGTCTGCACCTCTACCGGCAATCTTCACTTCAACCTGCTCATTTGCTAATTGTGTTTTATCAGGGCTAGACATTCCAGTCAGAGTGACACAGCTGGGTGAATTAGCCCCACTGAAGTGGCTAGATAAGTTTGTCATTACTCATAGATATCTATCACTGGGTCACTTTACCAAATCATTTTACATTTTTGGCCAATAAACTGGTAGTAATCCTAACATTTCATGGGACTTCACAGATCTTTCATAAAGATAGCTTAATACTACTCTTATTTATTCCAATTTCTATAATTACTTCAATAAAATATCTCTTATCAGTGTTTGAAACACAAATATTGTTAATAACTAGCAATAGTTTTAGGCCCAGAATTAATTAACAATATCTAAATACTTTGATTTCTTTGTACTGGGAATAATTTTTTTGAATTTTAAAATCTTTATAAAACACGTCCCAAAGATATTCCATAATCTTCCTCAGTTCCTTAGTCTATAATTTTAATGTCATATAATTTCCATTTTACCTATTTTTTTTGGTTTCAGTTAAACATTGCTTCCAACGTAAAATTGCCACTGCACGATAAATATATCAATTTTCTCCAGAATGCATAAAGCATGGCAGGAAAAGCTTAACCCAACCATCCATTTAAACTGCAATGAGAAGTTTATCTGTCAAAATTGTGCAAAAAATTCTAAATTTAATTCAAAATTATTGGGAGCCATGATGGAGAATTACAGTCATTAGAATCTCTTGGCGAGAAAGTTTATCTTGGGGTCTTATATTACTTGAAATATGAAATGTACAATTACGGCGTCAGATTCGATGTGCAGCAGCTGTGTGCAGCATCGCGACTGCGGCGAGCGACGTATCAGATTGGTCGTGTATGAATTGTCTCCCCATCATCTCAAGCGATCTTATTTGTGCAGGTGCATGGGTCGCAGTAATTTCTAACTTTTCCAAATTCTTCAAAAGACAATAGAATTGCTATGACAATAGCAGCAAAATCTGTAAATAATATTTCCATTATCAATTAAAAAATTATGTTGCGACATGCAGTGTTTAATCCCTTATCTGTCCCAAACACATTCACGATGCTTCCGCAGTCTGGTGATATTTGTCCAATCTGATCTCGTAAACATTATCTTTATTTTCTCTCAAAATATGGGCAATGTTTTCTCTGGTCTAATGAATTCATGGCCTGGGTATTCTATGAGGAAATTAGTTAGTGTTCAAATTAAATAGAAATAGAATGCTACCACTCGGTACAATTAAGTAGAACAGATCTGAAATCAACGACACATGCCGACTTCCTCTTCCTAGGACCCGGCCACCATTTGCCAGTCTGTCTGTAATTTACCCTGGCTACAGTTACACCAACTGGAGCTGGGAACAATGACCGGCTCTCCATGTCTTGTTTTATTAACAATGTGATGTCAAACAATCATCCATCACAGCCCAATTTGTGTTGGGGGGTGAGAATATCTGATGGAACTCCTCCCCCTGCCATGTGGGCTGACAATAAAATAGGGCACAGTAGATACCTGATCCCACCGGCTCTGTCACAATACACACTAATTATGCTGATTTATGCATGTCATACAATGACTGTACTTGTATTAAATGATATGCTCAGATACCTCTGGTTCTATCTAGTATATAATGGACACAGACATTTATCAATTTGTCCAATTGGGTTGTATGTATGTGGCCACAAATCACGATAATTCCTTCCTTTATCCCAATACAACCTCCCCTAAATCTGCCCCTCCTTTTGTTCCACGTGAACTAGATAATCAGCTCCTCACCACACTTTGGACAAACTCATTTGTCTTTTTATCTAGTTAATGGATTTAGATCCGTTTCCTCCAACCAATACCCCTACAAATGTCCCCTCCCCCCTCCCTCCCAACCTCGACAAACTTTGAACAAACCAACTATATCTAACCTGAGTATACCAACTGACGTTCATCAGCAACATCAAACCCAAGTCTCCCAACCTGGCAATCATACAGAAAGTCACTTTCCCTAACCCCATTCACATTATAAAAGGTCAGACCCTATATAAACTAATTCAGATCTATATCAGTTAAATGGTCCCGCTAACAAATGTCAGTCCAGTCCCAACCACACCTCCAAACAAAAATATATCACTAAATTCTTCGTGATATAGCAGCATTTATCAACTTTATATGTCCATGTAAATAGCAGGAAATTTTTGAAACAAAAAAACTTGAATTAGAGATGACAAGATATCTTAATACATTATTGTCATCCGACAATCTGTAGTACACCTCCAAATGTCACTGGTACACGACACCAGCAACACACCAGCGACACACCAGCGTACACAACAGCAACACACCAGCGTACACACCAGCGACACACCAGCGTACACACCAGCGACACACCAGCGTACACACCAGCGTACACACCAGCGACACACTAACAAGCTATCCGGGTGTACAACACCTACCTGGTAGTTTGCTGCTAATTTACTTCTCCAACCAGGGGTGAGTTCTTCAATGGTAAGGCACAAATTGTGTCCACCATCTTGGAATGGTATCTGCTTGGGTTTGTCAAGTAAACGTCCTCCAAATTTTCTCTCTTCTTGTATCACACTCTGGAAAGTTCAAAAGTCAGCATAAAAATTCTTTTCATCTCAAAGATATTGAAAATGCAAAATTCCTTTCAAATTATTAGAACGGCTTCTTAAACGAATATCTCAAATCAAACGAACCTAAATAGGATTTTTGAAAGTTTCACCCACTTATCATACTCGAATATACATTTTTCCATTTGATTATCATTCAATCTCCATAGTCAACATTTGTAAGTGTGAAACATGATATTGAATTTAAAGCTTACTTCTAATGCATCCTGGGTATCCTCTACCACATATACTCTGATGCTGAAATCCATGGATGGAGGCATCATAGGGGCGAAAGCAGCCAGACGGAGGATTTTGATTGGCTTTCCCCCATGGACTGCCTCCCCTATAAGGGCGTATCTCTGAAGGTATTCGGTCATGATGTGGCAGTGGTTAGGATCTAGCTGGGCATAGATTGGTGTATTTATCGTCTCCTGTCCTAATGTTACAATTTTCTACAATAAAAGATTTTTTCAGGATTAATTTCATATGGCAAAAATAAATTAAATATTAAGTAGGAATTCTTTAATTTCAGTAGAGTTCAGACACAAGTGTCGTGTTTTGTGTGAATAATTATTTTTCTCTCTCAAACCACACTTTCCCATATATTCTGTAATGAATCCATGATTTGTTGATGGTTAGTGTTATCAAAGGCTGTTCCAGGAACCTTTTGGTTACTTACATGCCATCGTGGGGGTTCGTCTGTGGGCGTGTCACTGGTACAAAGGGAGAGCATCCAACCACCCTGCCGCATGTTGGCACAGTGTTGGACGGACAGGATAACTGGTTTCAGCATATCATGTTTGACAGGGCCAACCAATATCACAGGACTAATAACTGTCTGGTGATCTGTCAAAAACAACATTTTACCTGTCAGAAAAAACCTGACAAATGTACACAATTCATCTGGGGAGTCCAGATGTCTGTTAGGTAGACCCTTCTTCCTTTTGTCATAAAAAAGGCATCACATAACATTATTTGGACATTAACGATATCACAAAAGCTCTCAATTTCAAATAGTATTTAATTTTCAAACATAATCTTTATATAGAGTCTGTCCTAGTGTTTCATTAAAAAAAATACATGTTTCTAAATTTTGATGCAAATTTTTATTCATTTCTTTTATTTAATTAATACAACCAGCACTACCTGCTCTAAATCGGAATGAAATACCAAATTTCCAAAACATGAGTAATTCACTTTCTCTTCTATATCCTACAATGGAGGGTAAAGAAAGACATCTGCATTTTAATGTCACATCACTGTCAACTCAGATAGAAGATTAGGACACGGTAGAAACACAATTTGAATTTTTATTCACTTTTCGAGTTAACACCGTCAAAGATTCTCTGATCATACCTATATATCAGATGATTTATGCAAACAGCTCCACTTTCTATACAGTGCCAGGTGATGCACTTCTACCTGTCATTAGTGGAGTCGAGACAGATTCAGCCAATCACAGAGTCTGATCAGGTTATTAGTGTATTATTTGTTTATTATACTAACCGTAGGTAGAGTATCGGTTCAGAACTAACTGCCTGAAGGAGCACAAAGTTCAAATCAGATAACGGTGCTCACTTAACATACCTGAGAGTTTGGGCCTGTCCTTGTCGTCGCGACACACAGCAATGAACAGCTCCTCCGTGTGACCCTTTTTAATGGCTCCCTCCGGCACCGTCAGTGCAACACCTGTGCAGGAAAAACCATTTTAACCTCAATCTACTTCACTCAGTTATAGCTCAGAAAGGTTTAACCATTCCATCGCTATCTCCCAATATGTATATAAGCTATTAAAGAAATACACTGAATTGACAATATGGTAATGAATATATACTCGACTTCATTTCCATTTTAAATTTTAATATCCATAAATTACAGACAACCTGTTAACACAGATGTCTCATTTAAATATGTTTCTCCCGCTCACAAACTCATCTCCCGGAGTTAATGTCTCCTAAAACATCACCCCGATTACTTTTTTCTGAGGATTCATGATACAAATAATTATCATTCTGCTAAAAAAAAACTGTTATGTGAAATTAAACATTTCTAAAGTTTAAATGGATGATGATATCACTCAAATTTTCCCACTGCAAAATTGAAAAATGTTATCATAACGTTTTTTTAAGGCAACAGAAATTGAATGCAATCTGAATGCTTTCAGACTTCTCCAATATAGCCCGTGGGTATGCATAAACATACAAATGGAATTGTAGATTTTTAGATTTGAAAATTCACAAGGCATGAACAAAATGAGAATGACTAGTATGACTTAAAATGTTGGCAGAAAATCAGAAACTCAAACAAACTCCTAAATAATCTAGAAACATTATAAACAATGGCTAGAAGTGGTAATCAAACACAGAATCAGGCTAGCTCACTACACTGTTTTATCCTCAGCTTACAATCAGTCATCCTCATTTTCTCATTTCGCAATTAATAACCATTTAAACAGATAATAATCAAAAGTGGGGTGTAAAAATGTTTCTGATGAGGTGACTATCAAATTTTTACCGTCTCTCACAGAAAATCATCATTACTTTGTATATACCAGGTTATCTTTGCTTAGATAGTTTTTGAAAGTGAATTTGCAAGCCTCATTCTGGGAGAACAGATAAATGATACAGGTGTTTTGATTGGCTACCTGAGTCCGAGAGGACCAGGCGTCCACCCTGGTGGTTGAACGTAGTCCATGCCACAGCCTCCATGTCAATATTGCTAGGTAACTGGACGGACATCATAGACTGGCGACTATCCATCACATTGTTATTCTGTATAGGTGGTCTCGGTCCAAGGGGAACTGGAGGTGGCACATCTTTCTCGTATGGTAATTTTTCTTGAGGTCTATTATTCATAAATGTGGGTTCTACAAAAAGTGTTTTGCCATTTTTGGTAAGAGTGCCTCCCGATAATCTACTGTCCATGCTAGGACTGATGTCAGGTTTATCATAAATGTTCTCGACCGAGTTCACATGGTTGTTATTGGGAGCCTCTAAACTAGGACTGCGGGAGATTCCGTTATTCATGTTGTTGTGTTGTACAATGACTACAGTCTGTGTCAGGTCTGGGGGTACAGAAACCACGCCTACAAAATAAACACATTTCAATTTAGGATTTCATATGGTTAGATTTTCACCAAAACAGACGTTTGAACTATTTTAATTTATCTATACTACCCAAGTCAATAATACAACAAGTGAAATAAGTCTATTTTGTATTTTATTACTGTACATGGTATCGTTTATTGAGCATTTGTTTTCAATCTGTATATATAGCAAATTTTGCTGCAAAAGAACGAGATAAAAGCATGATCAATGATCGATCTAACCTTGTCCAGTCTGACTAACCTAAAAAAGATCTGTCTAGGTTGGCTACTGTGTAGGAGGAAATACACCGGCCATTACTTCCTGTAAGACCTGACCAGCAGAGCCATCCATTTGTCTGGCCTCCTCACACCTGCTAATCTCACGCCCGTTAACCCACTAATTGATTTCTATTGTTAGAATACATGTTATTTCACCTATAAAATATTACTACTTTGGTACAGATGATAAATGGCTGATCGGAAGCACTACAAAAGGTTTACAGAGTTAATATCAAACCAAATCTGAGGAAAGTGTTGTCATGGCGTGAAACAGTTATCATTATATCAAATGATTCATACGTTTAATCTTTTGATCAAATTTCCTTCGAATCAATAATGTGTGAAGATGGCCGTCAAACATGTTGAATTGTCTACAGAGAAGTTGTGATAGACACAGGGAACAGGAGATTGAGGTTCAGAAATATAAGCCCCTACTATATGGTAAACTTCCACAAGTGTTGAACCTGATATGTGTGTTACTGCTGGGCCACTAGAACTATCTCTTACATCAGACTGGGTATCACTACAAACTCTTCTGCAGGTGTCATGTAAGCTGATAATAACACTTGGAGGCCCTACAGACATCAGAAAACATTATACTTCTTTTATTTGGTTATTATAAACTATTCTTTATATAATATTTTACAAAGTTGTAGCATTTCTTCAGTTAATTTTTGTACCTACCATTTCCATTTTTGTGTGCTTTCTTCTCCTCGTCAGTTAGGGGCGGTTGGTTACTATCTACAAATGCAAAGACCTTGATTAGAATTATATTTATTGCAATATTATTCACTTTTGTAAATTATAAGATCAGGATTTACAAACATTTTGGACCTGTAGGTATCACCAAAATCTGATAAACTTGATTTAAGCCGAAGTGTGTATTTTAATTGATCATGATGCCCGAGAAAAAGGATTTTGAATAATTCTGATCAGACTGGTTGATATACAGGTCAGATGTTTACACAAGTCGGGAGCACCTGGTCTTTGAAAAGTGACAAATGTACCGTTTAAGTGGGGTTTGGCATTTTTGATTGTTCCCTTTGTAAATTTTGAGCGGGCGTGGTATAGCCACCATATCTTATCGGATAAATCTTACTCCGGGTCGGATAAATGCTTGTAGACATGCTACCCTCAAACCCCATACAAGGTTAGCACCATCAAAATCTCTTTTCTGAAATCGAATTCTTCACAAATGGGAAAATTGTAAAATTGCTTTTTAAAATAATTTGCTGGTGTCAGTGACCAATACCACTCTATAATTTTGCAGAGAATAAAATGACACGTCAAACACGTTTTTTCTCCTCCATCTGTCAATAGTTCATCCAGAAAGCCACCGACCTAATACAATCAGTACAGACGACTCCCCGTACAAACACACCTTGTAAATTCTCCTTAATGTTTACAACACAAAATACTCAACCACAGCTGTTCTGGCTAATTATAGCTTGACCTTCGACTGAGCTTTTATCTCCAGTCGTTATCAAAATGGTTTTATTTGATTCTATTTCAAAAACAAGAAACGTAACCTTTCACAATTACAAACTCTCTCATACAATCTGGAACATAATTTAATTTTTCTTTCATCCACTTCAGAAATAATTCAAATTTGTATTTTTTTTGGTCCATTCTGGTTCAAATTCAATAAATCTCTTCCAGCTTCTAACTGTGTCTTTTGTGACACACAACCTCAAACTAAATTGACTACCACACCATCGAGATCCCAAAAGGCATGGTCACGAAGCACACACTGGTTTGTTTTAGATGGTTCATGTTAAAAGATTCTATCATACGGACAACCATTGACACACTTAAGGTCAAGTCAGGTGACAAAGACTACAAAACTTTATGATATTTTACAGCATGAAGAAACGTGAGGTGCCCTTTGATATACAATAGGGCCACCTTGTCACCTGCTATCAACAAACTTTCAAATCACCAATTGTGTTCATTGGAACCATTCATTTAGTGCAGCATTGTTGTTCATGTTGTTTACTAACGTGTGTTGAGGGAGATAGTGGAGGTTTCCTATTGGATGTAAGGAGTAGCCAATAGGTATGAGGTATAAATTGAATGTAGATGTGTCGCCTCATTGGTTCTGTGGTCAGTTTAGTGGACATTGTATTCTCACATGGTTTAATTGCCGTTATCAGCACAGAGTATTTCCACTAGGGGTCACTAATAAGTTCAAAAGGGGAGGAAAAAAACGCATAAGGGTCAGTATATACCTGTAAAGTACATTTGAATTGCCAGACATTTGACCCAAGATGAAATATAGATATGGATGGGGAGGAACTTAACTTCAGGTGAGGGTAATTGATTCTATGGTTATAAAGCCCAACTGAGCGTGCAGCTGGAAAGATCAATGTCCTCCTTATGAGACTGACCCCCCAGTCTTTCTCAGATAAAAAAAAACAACACACATCTGCATCCAAATCCACATAATAGATTTGGATATTGGCCCCAACTCCACAGATAAGACAACATTACAGGCAAAAAAATGTCCTTCTCTACCAAAAACCTGTGGTGGATAAACGAGCTTTGCCTGCTGACCCATGTGAGGTTAAACCACAGAGTAAACAATAAATGTCAATGTGAGTACTTGATGGTTTGCCACACTAGTGCCTACTAATTATGTGATAAAGTGACACATTTCGGCCATGGACCTGAGCTGAAATGTTGACGGGACCTGTTCTGACACCGCCTGTCCACTTCCCCTCCCTATAACCATGAATCAGTCTACATACAACGACAGGTGTGTCTTCACTTCCCTCAATCTCGTACCTCTTTTCCACACATTATCGCATTTCAAGGAGCGGGAAGATTCAACATGACACGTTTCATTAGGAAGAAGCAATGAATATCTAGATATGGTTTTACTCTTGATTTAAGTTCAACCTACTTAGACCGGCACGATGTTAATACTTACTGTTTGCATTTTGACTTTTTCTTCTTATTGCCAAGGCGACCAGAATAACAAAGATGGCAAGGACAACAATAGACACACAGATTCCAATGTAGAGGGCGATGTTGCCACTTCCTGCATTGGGTCCAACAGTAGTTGCTACAATGACAAAAAAAGTACATTTTATATTTCAAATCTTTCTGAGTGTAGAGATTTTTAATACAAATTCACAATACACTGGTATTAAGGCCAAGTAAATCTTACATCAGTTTGAATCTGAACATGGGAACAGATATAAGCCATGACCCCAAACATTCTTTAGTGTTAAAAATAGTTCAAACACAAGTGTAAAAGTATTTTTTAATCATGACCCCTGTAGGTAAAGTTCAGTTGATAAAATATGCCAGAAAAAATACAAGGTATTTTCACAAAATTCTCTGAACTCATACCTACAATGTCTAATAACTAGTAACAAAAAACACATGAATATTATTTAATTTATCTGCTGCCATAATCGACTAAATCTGAGATTCTTAATGAAATCAGTTCTCCTACCAACATATAGCATACAGCTTTTGATCTGATCACATCTAACAGGGAAAGGCAGGCAAACACAACCTGGTTTGTATTACATAGTCACTTAGCATTCAAACGTTTCAAAGAGGCAGACGTCTGATGCTGCAATAGGCCACTTCAGGAGAAATACCATGATTTATCTAACCCGCTAAAATACTGCCCATAAATTTTAGAACAAAATTGGCCTATAAATTTAAAAACACAAACACAGGAACCAAAACTAACGTCTGCTTACGCTAATTTAAATGTATGCAAGTGTGAAATAGAACGGAAAGTGAAAATTAACGCCTATTTTCCACTCTTGAAAACTCGGAGGAAACTTAGATTTACGAGAAAATATGATGGTAAATCTTGCCTGGCAAGACAGGTTAGAGCCCATAGAGTATAATCAGAGGGCTATTGTTCTGGTCAATCACATTAGCCAATCATTAAAATCATAAAGTCTCCCACCTAATTAGTTATAAGTGGTCGTTTAAATTTCCCAAAATTTAAAGTGTTAATCCCAATCATGTATCTGACATCCCAATTAGGCTTACATTGTGTCTTTATTTCCTCTCCCGTTCCCACAAATTATTCCTGAATCGTAAACATTGATGAAAATTAGTGTTCAGTAATCCGTGCTCTATGGCTGCAGTTCTGATGCGCCTGAAGCACAACGATGCACAATGTTACTGGTCGACCTAGCTGATCTAGAGAAGCTTGTCGGGTGTAAATCAGAAGAGGATATCTTGTTCCCCCAATATCTGGCGGGGTTACCAACACATCTGCTAGGTAAAGTGCAATGCCTGTAACCCTCAACCATCCAATAATGACCTCCTATCAAAGGCTACCCAAAAGGGTTTTTTCGGCAAAAACTTCTAAGGTACATAGAATACAGCATCTGGTGTACGTCATGTGACATTAATGTGCACAGCGGTGTGTAAGAGGCCTTCGTGATTGACACTTAAAACATTTATTAATCTAAAAAAAAACTTTTTTTATTTTAAAACATTGCACTTGAGGAATAGATGGGATTATATGATGAGTTTGCTTTAACTGATTGAAGAATGAAAATTATGCAAAATACATATTCTGAATAATTGTTTTGAGGCTCCATCATGATCCATACAACTTGACGATTAAGCCATTGCATTTGTCAATGATATTTGTCAATAAGTATGATATTAAATTGAAAATATGTAAGTTACTGTATAGACAATATATAAGTTTTAGCTATATTTGCAAACAAAAATAATTGTGAAGTAACAATGATGTAAATTTCAACGATTAAATTTTAAAGTCAATGAATATGTTTTAAAAAATAATTTATTGCTGGTATCAAACAAAAAGTTAAAAAATACCAAATGAATAATAGCCCTACATTTTATACAAATATCTCACTTTTTACGGAGATAGTTATGCAACTGCAGTGTTTTATATAATTAATGGAGTCAATTTAAAAATCGCTACAAAGATCATCATACTTGTCTGAGTAATGTTTTCTGTCATGTGACCCGTGATTAGCGATTCTCAGTGTAAAGCCCCGGCCTGAACTAAGTGAAGTGAGAAAGGGAGATAGATGTAGGTTTTTGGAGGTTGTGCATGCTAATGATCAGGGACAGCGTTAGAAGGCAGTAGGGCAGCTATACATCAGGTAGATAATTAGAGGTGATCCGTCAACCTACCTGTTTTTACCGGGCCTCTTAAATCCCCATACAGTGTTCTCTCTGTAATAAATTAATACATCATAAAAGTCAACTAATATGCATACCATTATCATAATTTATACCAGATCAACTCAAAACTCTGGAAGAATAGATTGGTGTTGGGATAACGGAAAGTTTTATAACCCATCTCATCTAGTTTTAAAACAATAGACCATAGTGTTTGTAAGACATAAAACAGTAGACATTCACATCTACAGACTACGTTATAATACCTGTAGTACGATTTATATTTGTGCGAGACATTGTCTCCACCTACAGCTGTTCCCTCAACTTCATATTGACCAAAACTACCCTTCTTTTAAGTCATACTAATATGATACAAATTCAATATTCAGAGTTAAAGACTGTACCATAAAAACCTTGTTTAACAATAAATTAGTCTGAAGTCATTGTCAGGTCATTGTCAGCTAGTTATTTACATGTGTTCCCTATTAATTGGTTGTGTGACAATACCAGATATCTCGGTCACAGCTGTGCTACCTAATTGGGAGATGTTTTGTGTTACACTATCATAAGGTGAACAGGTAAGTCACCAAATATTCACACACATGTAATACACCTTCCAATTCACTTTCAGTACAACAGACAGAAAAAGACTCAACCCTCTATATTAAAACTAGGTATATGGGAAACACTGTTAATCAGGGATGGATATTTTGTGTGTCTAAAACTTAACGCTGACCGACGTGTGGTGACAGGTTTAAGTTCATCATATGTCTGAGATCAGCAGAGTGATAATCAAATTCCATACAATATATTCCATTAGTATTGATTAGGTGACCAGTGGTGACCACAGAGCCTTGATCACGATTAGGTGACCCCAGATTCCACAGAGGTCCCTCCACGTCCCTGGATGTGCAGCACCTCTGTGTCCGCTACAGTCCACGTTTATTAACTACTACACTCTTGGCTGGCTAATTTAATGACCACAGCATCACACAGTTATTATTGAGATGATCAGTGGTCAACATAAGTTCATCACGGCTACTCAAGTATTAGGTCTTAACTATACACCTGCTAATCACCTCCTACTGGACACACATTTAAAATGTCTCCATAGCGATGGAAAGCAAAATTTAACGGCTTCTTCATGAAGAGTGATACCAAACATACAACTGGTGTGTTGTCCACGTAATGTTTATCTTTTACTCATTCTCCGGGTCAACTAACATTTCCACGATGTCAAATGTAAAAAGCAAAAATTGGATTCTGTAAATCAGTTTAATAGTGCATGAAATAAGTGGATAAATGTGGAAATAATGTTGAATGGTAGCTTTGTGTAACCAATATCTGTCCCCTCTAGGGGGAGAAAGGGGAACAACCCTTTACCATCTTGGATGAATGTGGTCTCCCTGACCAGTGTGAATTAAACCCATTTACCATCTGAAATTACAACACACCTAGATTTTTAGATAACTGTTAGTCCTTACCTATACATGTGATGCCATACAAAAACATGCAAGTAGCCAGTTTATAAGAATTTTCTCAGCTGAATGTCCAAATTATCAGCTCATGCTAGAATGGTGAAATAATAATGGTATTTCCCAGTCCACTTTAAGATAAAACTAATGTACTCAAGACAAACGCACTCAGATCAAAGCATGGTTCCAATTCAGATTCATTCTCCAAAACAAACACTTCATTAGATTTTAAATCCAATCACGGGCAGCAGACCCCCACCACCCATGGGAAAGGCCCCTAACATGCTACCAGTACCCAATCAACTCATGATATATTACCAGCCTCAATCACAAGATCATCCCCCTTAATAAGTTGATAACTGTTTCTAATCACAAGAACTCTTTAATCGGGTATAAAATCAACCCACCTACATTCCCCATGGAATACGAGCTCTACCCCCCAACTTAGAGTTTTAACGAAGAGTAACAAAAAACAGAGACTGCCTGTCTACCTGTTTTGAGAGTTAATGCTGAATCTTTAATGTTCTCATTGATGCTCCTGGGATTTGCATCTTTTGCAATACTTCCTCTAATGTTATATATCTTTTTGGTTAAGAAACAGCCCCTGTACCTTTTACACATATAAAGGTGCGGTTTAGGAAACATTGTAACTCCAGTATTTATAAACACTAATGAAGGCCTCATATAATTAGGTACATACGCTTATCCTACACAAATGCTACTCTGTACTTTCTGTGAACCTATCAGGGTATTAAGATATCCATCAAGCATAAGAATAAGAACTTGTAAAGCGTAGGGGTGAATAATATTACAATTACATCTATCCTGGTGATTAACGGTCATAGAGGCGAGGCAAAATGGACCAAGTGTTTCCTCCCGATGAGTACCATCAGGATAGCAAGTTCATCAATGATTGACAATGCCGTCTGCTCCTGTGGGCTTAATCTTACCCGAGTGGATCACTAGCCAAATCATATCAAAATAAAGGTCTAAAAAGCATCATCAAAAGCAGCCTTGTAAAGATGTAACAGAAAAATATACACGCATTGTAATTACCCGAGGGGGCGCCTATTATACCACGCAAAAATAATATCCTATGGTGATATTTCATGATCTCTATTCTAGTTTGAACTCTAAATTGTTTCCTTCTGAAGTACAACAGCTTCTTCCTATTACCAACTTTTCTTTAAATCATTATCATTAAGTAATGCATGCTAAAGTTGTACTTATTTTTCAACAAAAAGTGCCTTTCCCACCTTTAACAAAAAGTGCCTTTCCCACCTTTAACAAAAAGATGTAAGGTAAAGAGGATACCATCTATGTAAGTGTATACAAACTGTATACATACCTAGAGGAAACATACTACATAGACACTAAAAATAATTATAGAAACATACACTACATCTTATACCGATGCAATATTTCCATAAAAAGAACCAGATCCCTGAATTTGTTGATGGAAGTCAGAATGACACCAATTACAGCGAGTGAATCTGCCTTAAAGCAAACACAACTATCTTCTACACATCAAAAGATAATTTTCTCATTTTTTTCATACACCATTCCCAAAAAAATTTCCAATCTCTATTTAATTTGCAAGACCTACAGGTAAATACATGCTCGAGTATGGAGCATCAAATAACTAGCATGCTCCATACAAACATATGTTTATATAACTGTATTTACCATTACATAGTAGCCATTTGTCAAGCTTAGCGAGAAATAGATTATTTTTTTTGTCTGTTGTTAGTGAAATCTTGAACAGATAAACTCTATGTGAGATCCATTAAAATCACAAAAATTGGAGATCGGAATCTTAAGAGTGGTTAAAATTGTTATGATTGAGTTTTCAAGTGGTCTATGAACAGTGTTTGTGGGATGTGTCGGATGGGATAACAGACTTGCCACTAGGTTTCCGGGAGGTATTGTACAAGCTGACAGTCTGTAAAACTCTATGTATACAGAGATTCTCAGTGGGTACCCTTATCCCAAATCAACTACTTCAAGACCCAGCACTGTTTTTGGCCCAGTGATCAGGGAAACTCAAACAAATGCTTGCCAGGTCTTATGTCATAGGAGGGTCTAGTGGAGGGTTGCATCCCAGGAGTAGGATATCACCAGACTACCTACAATCTGTGTCAGTCAGAGACTACACCTCCCACAACCCATGTTTGCCATTTATTGACACACTTAGATAACACTTTAATTTTCCAATTTATGCCAATTACCTATCAGCACTATTCAACAAGTTCTTCACAGATCTGGCACGTTAAGAGATACTTTTTTAACCATGCTTGAAAATACATTCCTCACTCACTCCATTTTCATTTTTGTATAACAAAATCTGCTACTAATAAAGCAACAGTTTGAGACAAACAGTCAGCATGTCTTCATCATTGATGAAGCCCTCAAAATGACCTCCTATTATCTGTATATATCTAGCCTTCATAAAAAGGTTTTGAGTAAATATGGTAAACGATGAAGATCAGATATCCTCACCAATTAATCCTGTCCATGGTAAAATGGCATGTCCCTCTCATATGGTCAGTGTGTTTAGAGAGTAGATACTCTCTAACCCACAACACTTTCTGCCATTAATACCAACATCACAAGCCTAGCCTGACCATTAAATGCAATGACAGGAAGTAATAAATGCCCAATTTTATTTTCCTATTTTCGGTTCCCTCAACTTTCCTGGCTTTAACGCTGACAGTTTATTTCCTCTATGGCGTTAAACCGGAGCAGTAACTGTAGTAACTTGGTGTGTTTAGTACAGCAGGGTTGTCACACACAACACCAAGCTGTAAGAAATGTGTATCATGCTTTTCTAGTAGTTTGTCTTCCCATCAGTGACCAATGCATTTACACTAAAAGACTTCGTAAACCAGAAGTTCTATCTCAGTTCTATGGAAACCAATTTCCATATTTTTGTTTTCTTCAGACTGAAAGTGCATTAGTCATAGTCAAGGGAACCCTAGCATACAATCGAAAATTTGCCAAAACTTTTAACTGATGTTTGGAGAGTATTTTTGGTTGCATAATTATCATTTCTGTTCTTTATTTTAAAGGTAACACACAGTGTAAAAGATTAGTAGGATCTTTACTTAGCCAAGCTAGTCCCCAGATACCGCTAAAACGCATTTCCAGAGAGCTTCGTTATTCTACCGTAAGAAATCGACACTTGACTTTCTTGATTACTTTGATCTTGTGCATAAGCAACATCCAATCAGATGATGAAATCAATTAGAAGCGGAATCTAAATCACCCCAACTATAGCGTATTGGTCTCCCTGGGACCTGTAATGAGAGTAAGTCTATAAAATAGGGAACGTAATCTTGTGGCTGAAGTATCTTTACGTTTTACTATGCAGGGTTATATCCCACAAAACCTGAAACCTGAAGTAGATACAAGTTTATTGCTAATATACATGAACCTAGCTTTGATACACAAATTTTGTTCCCAATCTTTCATCGTTTTTCTGACAAATCGCATACAACGGAAGTTGAATATTGTGGTCCCCTTGTGAAATCCTGTGTTCGTATAGACACCCATGGCAATGTTTCTTCTAAAATAATTTGGTAAATAAATATAAAGCGCCCTTATCTCTTTATAACATCAATACTGTCTAATGCATATTGCTACTCTCCTGGATTTCCTCCGAATTATTCTATCAATGAAAAAAGCTTCTCCATTATGGATGAATTGATCCGAGCTGGGTCGTTAATTCTCTCTCCCTTGTTACTTACCAACCAGACTGCCATTAACTATGTTGGATTTCATCCTATCTTCATGACTTGCCAAAAATGCTATCTTACTATGTCAAACAAACTTACAAGTGAAAAGGTTGTCATATCTAGTCTGGGTATTTGTAGCAAAATAATACTATCATATCAAAATGGGTATGTTACTGGATTTCAAATGCAGTTTTGACAAGAGGCCAACGAAGGGGAAACTGAATACTGTTAATCAGAGAACTGAGGAGTTGGGACTAGGAGCAGCTTCGTGATGGCTGGGTTAGGGAACAAGTAAATTTGCAGACGTATCCTGGCCCGACTAGTAGTGATATCAGTCACTGTAAGGCAAAAGAATGTGCAGTTTTGAGAACAGATCTGCAAGTAATTTGCATCTGTTCATTTGGTTTTACTTAGGAAGGGTGTTTTTTATGCAATGTGGCAAAAAATTAGTGCTTCCTTGTTTTGAAATTTTATTCTGACACAAAAACTGAAATTATCTGAAACTTTGTCGTAATAGTTTGTTTTATTTCAGGCGTTGGTGACCTAGTTTCTCTTGTCAGATAGAAATCATCTCTTTGTTACCTACCTCGACACATTCCTCCAGTACAGTTAGTAGAATCAAGATCATTTCCACTGCAGTATCCTCCGCCATTTTCAGGGGGAGGGTCGTCACATGACCTTCGGCGATGATGGAGACAATCAGGACTACAGGTTGACCAGGATGACCACATTGACCACTGTCCTCTCACTGAACAGGAACATATAACACATTAAAGTGACTGGAAAGGTTTCAACACAGCTAATGTACATTTTACTTCAAATAAGATACATCAGGAGCTACATAAAGTCAAATTATTATGATATACTCTCCAACACTGCAATATGTCATCTATCAAATCTTATAAGCTAATATCATTTTTCAGGATAACAAGAATCAATTTGAATAACCTAATCACCAATTAAAAATTGGTAATTGTCCATATAAAAAAGTATGGTTGTCCATCTCAATGTCAAATATTTCATGTCTAATATCAAGGGAGGCAAGTCTAAAACACAATAATTCACAAAGGAAATTCACAAGACTGGCAAACAGAAAGAATCAGGAAACAAGGAGTACAGAATAAAGTGAAAAATAAAGATAAGAAGTGAAAAAGAGACAAGGAAGATGTCCTTTGGAGGAACGGAGGGTCTGGAACTTAACCGGGGGAGGGACAGCACTACTGTACACAGGGAAACAATACAAACAGTACAGCCCACATTTCTTAGATTTCCTCCTAATAAGAAGACTTTATTTTAAATAGTAGGGTGTTACCTCAATGTGATAGTTACCTAGGCTACAATCTCTATGTTAGGTACAGGCTAGGCTGACTTTATTTTACTTTACCAATGGTCAATTACAATTCTTTTTCTTTTTAATTCTTTTGTAAACTAAAACAAATCTAGATGCTACTTTTTACAAAATAAGATTTTATCAAAATTGCTGAAATCATACATGTTGGCCCAATATATTAATGTCAAAAATATAACTTGTCGTTCGAATTCTTTTAACTAGCACTGAAAAAAATAGCAAAACGGCCAACTTAGCAGAACAGACAATTTCTTCAAAAAAAACAACAAAAAACCCACAAAATTCCAAAGACTCCATGATGGATTGTTCCTGGGTATGTAAAGATGGTAATTAAACAGATTATATGGTAAATACATTAAACAAAGATATATAAGAGTATAAGGGTCAGGATTCTACTGATGATTTTAGTTCCTACGGTCGCCTTCCTATGCTTACCTGCATCTACATCACATCCAGGTAAGGCGAGGCAGAAATGGTAATAATGGCAACAATTACACAACAATCTCGTTAACAGGTAAATTATCTCAGATTAACAGGTACGCTAGTTTATCACGGATAACTGATCAGATTTCTACACTTCCTTTACATATTAATATATCATAAAATCAATTTGACCCCAGTAAAAATAAACGTTAAGATTGATTTCACCCTGGTACAAAAACTGACATTTGCCTTCATTAAAATGGTGTTAATTTAAGGAGATTTAAGAAAGTTGTTTGCAGCTGTTATTAGTTTTACAATCTGATTGAAGTTTTTCTTTTCACAGTTAAAAGTTCACAAAATGTGTCCTTTATGTTGGAAGATTAAAGATTGCATGATGAGCTTTAAAATGATGAAATGAAATCCAATAAATGCTATCAGGATGACTGAAGTCTACAGAGGCTGCAACATATCAGAAATAAAATGTTGCCAAGGATTGTACACTAAAAATAGCGACAGATTTAATGTAAGTGATGCGGTCTTAAGCTAATTCAGTTCTAGAGAATTATACAGTATCAAACTGCTATTTATATTCACAGGATAACCAATACAGGTCAAATGAGAGCCAGGGCTGTTCGGTGATAAACCACCATACAAACACCGATACAAAATGTCAAATTATTCGAAATTCTAGGAAATATAATGCTACTGCCTGATACTGCCAATGCTTTACAAACATTTCATTGAGCCAGATTCATGTTAATATAATTGTAATCACCACTAAGGCTTAACTACCATCCAGATTTCACATAACTAGAAGCATTACAATTGTCCAAGTTACTATAACTCAGATGGGTAGTCATTGTCGTACATGGGGCTATTGAGAATTATAGTCAGATGGCTAAACAATTTTTCACCATAATCATATTCATCAATAATGATGTGTTTTTGTAAAAATGTCATAAAAGATTTGCATTCATTTTCAGTAATATCTTTTTCAAGATGGACCTCTATTTTCTCATCCTCTATTTTCTCATTATGCCTTACACAAGATGCATTCTGTAATACCACATTCCAAAACCCATCATGTTACATCTGATATTATTAGCATGAAAGCCTCTTAAAGAATGATGATTTTAGGTCTTTTAACGATCCTACTCATGATAATGAACCTGTGCCAAAGATTTATTTATATCTCTGTCAAATGAAATGAGTGTTTAGATCACTTATTACAGTTCTCGATCTCGGTTACATCATGCCAAACACTATAGCTTCATGTCACAAAATGAATTATTGAAATAACTGCCTAATTTTCTAAGGATCACCATAAAACATCTCGGAATGTTAATAATTTGCAAAAAAGATGGTAAAAGAAACTAACAAAATATGTATCCCAAGTCCCAACAACAAATCACATGACTTATGTTTGCGCATTCTTCAATCTCCTGGGCTCATGGGAGAGTTGTTCCTTGCCTCTGTTTTTTATTGAATAAGTTGTAATTATGGAGGGAATGAATTTGGCTCCAGGGAATTAGGAATTGTCTAGACACTGGGGCCCACTGGTAGTGGTGTGTGTAATACAACCCAGACTTACTTGCCCCTTCGACTCCCTAGTCTTACCACAAGGTCAGCGTGTCAACGACCCCTAAAATCGTCCCCCATTTTTAGATAGAGTACTACCCTGAACCTTTATGTAGTGTAATGTGACATATCAACCCCTCTGTAGCCAGCCCCTCCCATCCCTGTGTACTGCAGACCATTTCCAACTGAACACTGTTGTTTTATACAGACCATGTTTTCAATAAATGGTATGGAGCCTACTTAAGTGTCGCTCTTGAGAAACTTGTCTGGGGTAATTTATGTTATTTTGGGGAAATTTGACATGTGTTTAATAGGGAGGGAAAGTAGCTTTTATCTGAAAGATGATCAAATGAAAAAGAGAAAATGAAGAAACGAAAATGTTATTTTTTTCATCCATACCTAAAACTACTTCATCAAATTGTTGGTAATGCTTCCTTGTCGAAAACTATGAAAACCTTCAAAGAAAATCGGGCAGTAAGAGCGGACAAACTTATTGCATTACTGAACGTTTCGGGGCATACGTTTCCTCCCTGCCAAACAAAACTTGAAACTGATGGAGAGAAAGTGAAGTGATGTTGAGAGGACGAGTAGGGTTGGCCGAAGACCTACCTGGACAGATGGCGGTACACTCAGTCTTCTGACTTGTCTCTCCAACACAGGGGGCACCCCCATTGAGGGGGGTCGGATTGGTGCAAGCTCGATAACGCTTCTGAGAGCCCCGACCACACTTGACTGAACAAGTTGACCACTGACTCCATGTTGACCAGCTTCCATTCACTGAAATCAAAATCAGTCAATTTTAAAGGGTTTAAAACCATGTGTTACAGGGTTGGTCACTCTTAGGTGGATTTGAACAGTATGACACAAATCTTGCCGATTGTTTTGGACGTGCCAAGGAAATGCTGCGACAGTTGACTGTCCTTCTCATGGTCATATTTGAATGAATAATAAGGTGTTTTTTTCGCATTCATAAAACCGATCCGATGGTATCAACATACACTTGTTATCTAGAGTACAAATCTCTCCTCATAACGAATCTGACCTGAAACTCCATCACCCACAAGCTTGACATCCACTCCTTCCTAAAAACATTTTAACCACCTAATTGAATTGAATTTTTTTAGACTATTTGATCTTGCTGCACATCTCAAGTCAGTGGTCACGCTTGATTAGAGTTTGATTGGGATGGGCAATCTGTTAAAGTCCCGACATTTCAGTCGACTCCAGAGCTAGGTGTATAATGAAGGAAAATCAACTGCACCGGACGGCGCCTGTTTGGGAGAAGTGGGCTAGAACCTGGCCGTTAGACCACAAATTAGCTACTATCCACAGCACCGCACAAAAACTAGTCATGCTGGTCGGGGTTTTTGTCATACCAATTGCATGATATTCCATGCAGAACTCCTTACTGAAAAAAATATAATCTTAATTTTATTTTTTTCAGTTTTGAATGTTCTTTCCAGTCCTTTTATACATTAAGTTAAAATCCTGAACACACTCTGGTCTACTGGGGATACAGACAAATCTGTACCAGGTGTCTGTGCCGTGTCGTTATGGAGATTTATCTAACATCTCGTGAGTGACTAAGTCTCATTAGATAAAACCCTTCTGAATCCCCTCTCATCATTGAGGTCATTACCCGCCACTCGGAAGAAGAATAATTCCTGTTATTTGGCAGTTGCATAGCTTAGGTTGTAAAAGTAATCAAGCTCAGTATCAAATCCATTGCATAACTTGCAATGAAGTATATCTCTTTGTCTGATGAGCTGGGTCAACAAAATGGGAGCTTTGTAATACTGCAATTATGCTTCAATGTACTAGCAGTCAAATACTTTATTTTCAAACCGACACATCAGATCAGTCTAAGCACCGAGAACACGCTGTTAGTTTGGGTTTGATACTGTATGTACATATCTGTCGAAACATTTAGTCCCAATTAGCTAAGATACATATAAACTATCAAAGACAAAAATGTATAAATATTTTGCCTGTCTGACAGGATCTATTCATTATGATTGTACTGTCTTACCAATAAGTTGAGTATTAGGTGTCAGCTGGAGAGAAATGGACATGTCCTGTTCTATGTCAGAGATGTGACTAAATGTCTCCGTACTAATTAAGGATATGGTTTATGACTGAGTCTAGATGCTGGAGTAATTCATAGCTTAATCAAAGCTAAGGAAACCCACAGATCCTGTATTACCATATGTCTGTGTGGTACAATAGATCCTTTACCGCTAGGTAAGACTGTGGCTAAAATTGTAGAGACCTCTATCATAAAACTTCAAAGATATCAGACATATTCCAGTAGTATTCTTCATAAAATCTGGAAATGTACGAGTAAAACATAAACCTACTCTCCGAGCGTTTGAATCCATCAGCAATGACAGGAATGCAACCAAACACTGAACAGATGCTAATTTTGTCTACAGCAGTGTGTTTGACATCAGCGCATTAACACAATTAAGTTAACTAATCACCAGCAGTAAGCACTGTGAATTTTTGGCGGGAAAAAAGTGGAAGGTGTTTTTTTATGAAACTGACTGATATCCAAAGACATTGTTTCAATGAAAGAAAATTTATAATAAGATTTTTTTGTTGAAATGTGCAAATAACAAAAAAATTGCATGCTTGTGTACATTATGTTGAAGTTCTTCTGTAATAACAAGCAACTTTTTAGGTTTCTGTAAATATTCAAAATACATTTCAAGGTTGTAATTAATCACATTGAATGGAAACAGAGAAGTGTATATCAGTAAGTGATTGGTACGCCGAGTTAATCGCGGCTGTTATAGTAGATCCCCAGATATCTACGCCCAGCGTACATGCTTTTCTCTACCTTTCTCTTTGATCACAAGAGCATGGAACAATAAAAAAATACTCAGTAAAAACTCCACCATAATCTACTGTCGTTCCTGTCATAGATATCTATGATCGGTCTAATCAATCATGTTGGTCGTCAGACGTCAACCCAGACTCATTAACACACGAGTTATTAAAACACCTCCAATATTTCCTCTGTAAAAGACATTTTACATAAAGCTATGATGATTTCCCTTCGGCTTGACCTACACTTGACATATTTGGAGTCATTCAAATAATTGTAAATTGAAGCATTAATTATTTCGACAATAAAAATGTCAAACCAGATACCTCCGTAAAGTATATTCTTTGTGCATTTCCCTGTTCATCTTGTTAGATTGCCTCCCTTGAGTGGTTTCTTTGTTTATTCAACGTAAAATCACATCCCACTAACACTTACAAGAATTCTGTACAATCACTTTTCTCTTAGCAAACCTGCCCCTTCCATTTTCCCCTCTTTGAAATTATCTCCCTTGGGCTTTTTATATCATGAAATTATCTCCCTTGGGCTTTTATATATCATGAAATTATCTCCCTTGGGCTTTTATATATCATGAAATTATCTCCCTTAGGTGTTTACATTCATTAATAGAACCTCTGTTGGTGTGTCGACTCTGTCAAACTACCTCCCTTGGAGGTGTAAACTCTGTTAGATTACCTTCCTTGGTGTTAAAGCTATAAAGTACCTCTCTTGAGTATGTACACAGTGAAATTAACTCCATTCGAAGTGTACACTTTGGTAAATTATCGGCCATGGGAATGCACATTATTAAATTACCTCCATTGGGTGGGTACACTCTTGGTTAACCTCCCTTGCATGTGAACATTTTGTTTATAGCTTCCCATGGGTGCAAGCATTGTGTAAATAACCCTATTGGGTGTGTAAATTTTGTATATTACCTCCCTTGGGTGCTTACACTCTGTTAATGCAACCTCCCTTGGGTGTGTACATTGTTAATAACCTCCCTTGGGTGTGTACATTGTTAATAACCTCCCTTGGGTGCGTACACCCTTGGTTTACCTCCCTTGGATGTGTATATTCTGTTAATTACCTCCCTTTGGTGTGTACATTGCTAATAACCTCCCTTGGATGTGTACATTCTGTTAATTACCTTAATTACTTCCATTGCTATCCTCTGTTTAGCATCTGAAGACATATCTTGGAATACATCATACAGATGGATAGGTCTTAAAATTGTCAAAATAGCCCACGAGTCCAAAAGTAAATTCCTATTTAATTTCAAACAACAGAATGTAAAAACAAATTTTGTAGGACCAGATGTGTAACCTACTCTCATGTGGCCTTGACCACTATGTCCCTGACCATAGGTGGTGGACAAAATCACTCTGACCATCACCTTTAATGCCAAATGACCAACAGTGGTCTAAAACAGTCCATTTCAAACATGAAGTTTTCATTAGTAACCCCCATTAACTTCCTCCTCCTCCTCTGAAACCTCCCATCACCAAAAACCCCACACAGAGACCAGGACATTTTCCCATGGTTTTATCTCTGAATTTCAACTGTTCTGACTTTCAACACCACATAAGCTGGAGTATGTGGAAAATGTACCTAGCAACCCTGAAAAAACTCAGCTAAATTTTCCAATAGCAAAACCCATTAATAAAATATCAGTCAGTTGTCCAGTGCAGTCCTACCAGATACCACCAAAGGAGAGGAAACATCCCTTCTTTCAGTTTTTTTCTTGTGAAATGCCCCCCTGGTGTATGGTGATTGATTATAGAAGGTCAGCGTGCACTCATAAATTCTCAATGTCCTTCCTCCAGTAATTTTTTGTCTTTCTGAAAGACTCTCATGACTCTTCAATGGAGTCTAATTGTTGGTATAAATTTGATAAAGTTGAATGTAGCTTTTCCTTTAATTTGATAAGAAATAACATATATAAATTCATCCTGTGTCTAATACAGGTACCCCACTTGTATCCTGTAGTTTAAATTTAGAACAAGGTACTATAAACAGCAATGTATGTGATCCATTCGAGGTCACCATCATATCATGCACACAAAGTTTGATTAAATTTCCTCTTTTTTAACAACAGATAAATCCATCTAATCTTTACAGATGAAAATAAGTTTTAATTTGTAGTAAATATGATGCAGAAACATCAACATTATCAGTCAGCCTATCTGTGTAAACAGATAATTACCCCTGCTAAAGTCCAGGGTAATCAACGGAGACACAAAACACACCTGCCCACAAAAGGACCAACCTTTAAAGCGAGCTGTAATTTCATGCCTTGGTCAGACAATGGGGTGACCAGCGACCGAGTGACAGACCACTAACGGGGTACTATTGGTGTCATAACTACTCGGTAGATAAACTACATTATTATAAACATAATGCCCAAAGCGCAAACAGTTTTTGTATCAAATATCAAACAGAATCATTATCTTAATACTTGATTGTTTCATCAATGATGGACATCAGAATGGACCTGGATGTCTGCGTGGATTATATACATACAATTAAGTAAATGGGTTATGATATTGCTATCTGTTTGTCATTCCATACCACCACCCCTAGCTACACAGCTTCACTGTAGATAACATCACTCGCAAAAATACTGAAAACCCTATTAATAAATGAAACTTTTATCAGCTCCATTTCAATTTTTCATCTGGTATTTATCCACTGTAGAGACACTGGATCTGTAAGTCAAATATGTGCAGGAGCACATTGGCCTAGAGCACTTATCTCAGTCATTATATTTCTAAACATCTCACTGATCAAGTCATTATATTTCTAAAACTCTACAGCACTGATCAAGTCATTATATTTCTAAACCTCTCTAGAACACTGATCAAGTCATTATATTTCTAAAACTCTACAGCACTGATCAAGTCATTATATTTCTAAACCACTCTACAACACTGATCAAGTCATTATATTTCTAAAACTCTACAGCACTGATCAAGTCATTATATTTCTAAACCACTCTACAACACTGATCAAGTCATTATATTTCTAAACCTCTCTACAACATTGATCATGTCATTATATTTCTAAACCTCTCTACAACACTGATCAAGTCATTATATTTCTAAAACTCTACAGCACTGATCAAGTCATTATATTTCTAAACCACTCTACAACACTGATCAAGTCATTATATTTCTAAAACTCTACAGCACTGATCAAGTCATTATATTTCTAAACCTCTCTACAACACTGATCAAGTCATTATATTTCTTAAACTCTACAGCACTGATCAAGTCATTGTATTTCTAAACATCTACTATGAAGTCAGCATTGTATTATCAAATGTTTTAAAGAAGTGCTCAAAAGCCTCGGCATTTCAAGGTAAAATGTGACAAATGTGTTACCATGGCTACCTACCATACACAGTTAGAACAGCCGACTGGCTGATACGCTTTGCCACGACATTTCGAGCCCCACAGGTGTAGTTTCCAGTATCAGAAATGCGAACTTGTGGAAAGAGTAAATTTCCTTCACTAGATATAATGTTGTTTGTCTTCTTAATATCAATTTCCTCTCCATTCTTCAGCCAGAAAACCTGAAACAGAAAATTACATAAGAATAACTGAAAATATTGGGGCAATACAAAAGAATTGATAAAACTTTTTTCTTCTTCTCAAAAGTGTATGAAATGTACTCTGAACACTTTTAGGTGATCTTTATTCTGAAAGGTGATGATGTTTTGGGGGAGGAAGGAAGAGGACAAGGGACACAACTCTAATCATCTCAATAGAAAATACATTCAATACAGGAAACCTTAGAAAACAAATCTTTTAATTAACTTTGAATTGAGAACAAATGCTATTGATTTCTGTGACATCATTTAGACTTAGAGAGACCATCAGCACTTTAGCATGTCTCCAGGCTGACTTATACAGAGTTTAGCTGAAAGGTGAATTTTATGAAAAAGATTATGTCTGATCTCAGCGGTGCTTAATTATAACTGCATTTAAGCTGTCCTTACAAAAATTTACCCTACGTATTTCCAGTGAAGTCATTTTTTTCTTAAAGCTATGTGAAATAAACTCTACACTTCCGATACTGATGACTATCTTAGCTTTGTGCCTGGAAGTGACCTCGGCCAAAAATATGTATGGGACGACAACCTCTCTTCTCTAAAAAACAAGATAATTATATAATTGATCACTTAAAAATTTACTCAACAATACACACACCATGGGGTGTTTTTATTGACCAGTCACAAAGTTCTCAACTCTCAAACAGGTTGTCAATGACTTAAACACTAGTGACACGTTGATTATGACAGGGTGGGTTTTTCAAGCATGCTTATTTAGGGGCCATGTTGTCAGTAGGTGTTCCAGTGCGTGAAACAATAGTCGACACTCCTCAATGTCCTTCGCACAATGTACACCGGGAAATCGGTGATCCTGAACCACACGTAAGGATCATATATGTATCTGTTTCATCAGCTTGTCTTTGACGGGTGACGTTTCATGTCGCAATTCTTTCTGAGTAACTTTTGTTTGCTCATAATCTCAACTTTTCTGAATTTGAAACGGAAGTGACAATCAACAAATGATTCACAACGGAGATTCCCATCGGTTGGTTAAGTTGGAAATTTGGACAGGATGACACTTATAATAACATAACACCCTGTTTAATACAGATCTGAATTAACACAAAGCCACTACAAAAGCTTGGCACAGACCATCCAAAATTTGTAAATCCAGAGTAAAGTTCAGGACGCCATACAAAGGTGATCCTGCCAGCTTTTTGACAAGTTTGTGAGTTCTACACCTTGTCCCTGCTGTCCGTATCATATTTTTTTTATTTCATATCCATCAATTCGACCATAGAATTTTCAACCTGTAATGATATCAACATGATTCTCACAGCACCATAAATTGAAATAGCTCAATAGGATACCCCATTAGGTGGATATAAATCTCATCTTGGGTGTTCTGTTCCACTGACTTACACACAAAGACCTCTTCTACTCGTAATGGACATTGTTTTTAGCAAGGTTGTGTGGGGTGAAACGAATACGTCCCTAAACAAGATAATCATACAAGATTAGCCATTTTGTCCATTGGTGCAGGTGTCCTGTTCAACAATCGTGGCAAATAGAGCCAAGACATTACATCCACGCGATGTATAGGTGGGTATATATGGCACCTCCATAATGACCTGGTGTTAACGTGTCCTTAGATGTGGCCTATGATAACAGCCTATTCAGTTCCATTGGAGGCACTGCACCAAATATCCTCACCAAATAACATATCCAACATTCAAATATCCTAACCAAATATCCATACATAATAACCAAATATTAACCAAATATCCATACATAATAACCAAATATCCTTTCTAAATTATCCATACTAAATTTCACTACATCTTTTACATGTACATAGATCTATATAAATTATCTGACCAATTTTTGTGTCAACCATCAGAAAAATTTATGTTTCATGAAAAGTTTTTTTTTTTATTTATTTATTTTTGGAAGTAACAAAATATACATTATCAATAAATAATATATTGGCAATATTTAACTTCCACTTCTGCCTTGATATAATACATGATGATCCCTATCTACCATATCTAGTCTATAATAATGTATTATTGTATTAATTCATATCTAGTCTATAATAATGTATTATTGTTTTAATTCATATCTAGTCTTTAATAATGTACTATTGTATTAATTCATATCTAGTCTATAATAATGTATTATTGTATTAATTTATATCTAGTCTATAATAATGTATCATTGTATTTCGTTTTACATTCCACAGAAAAAATTATATGCTAAATTTGTAGAAGGTTTAATTTAATGTGACAAAAAATATACTGAAGACTTATCACAACCATCAAAAACCAGCTCAATTTTCCTTCCATTTCAAAACCGAGAATTTAATGGACTAGGTATACGTTTCATCTGGTGGCGAAACCACTGGGCAAACTAGGCATACGTTCCAATAAAACTTGCAAATACTTTCAGAGATCTGTAATCAAATATCTCTATGTCTTCATAAAACTCTGATAACACTGGAAAAGACCTTTAAAAAAAATATGGCCCAAGATTTATTTATTTTCATAACCGTTCCTCATTCAGTTTCGTAAAAGTTAAAACTTCAAAGACGTGCACCTGTATTTGGAGAACAAATTTGACATTACCTATTGAAGTCTATAAGGGATTTAATCTGTAAGTCTCCACCTTAACTGCAGATCATTTCAACAGCGAATGGAAATTGATAATATGACTCAAATAACAAACTATAAAATTTCAATAAAATTATGATAATTTCAAGGTAAAATTGGATCTGCCATTGACAAAGAGGTTTTAACAAGCTGAGGAACAGACAAGTGCTGATAAGCATCTCGGCCCTACCAATGACGGGTCCTACCCGAACTGAGTCAACACTGGGGGTTTGTGATTGTCAGACCAGGTATACATCCATTATAAGTGGTTCTAATTCTGACCCCAAACCATACATGTTATGCAATCAAGTGCAAGCTCAAATATAACCATCATCCGAGGTTTTACATGACGCGGAGATAGGCTTAGTTTATCATACCTCAGACCTGATATGTCACAAAAAACTCTCTTATTTCCCTCTGTACGTTTTGTTAAGATTCTTTTCAATGAAAAGGTGACGTTTGATTCGGGTGCCCCTTACTACCGTCGCCCTATAACTCATTATGGGGAATGTCATGTCATTTTCCTTAAACCCAATATCATTTAAAATTTATGATTCCAATTATCAAAAGTTTGTCAAATTTTGTAGTGTGCAATTAGATTTAAATGCCTAGAAGCCAAGTAATTACTGCAAGGCACGCTAACCTATAATAGGGTTCTGACCAAGGTAAGATCAATGGCTGTCCAATTATGTATCTGGGTGTATTCATGCAACATAGCTAGCTCACTCCCTAATTATCTATCCTGGTCAATATGTAATCATGACTACAAGTTTGTTCACGTGTCATTCCAATATAACAACAACACACATAAAATATCCAAATCTTTATCAAAGCAAACAAATACTTTCATACTGCCCTGTACAAGGGAACCGTCCAACAATGACAGTCTATGGAGAGATGTTTCATGTTACAACACTCTCTGTACATATAGATTATCTTATGGAGAGACTGGCAATTACCAGGTGTTTAAATTATCATCCATAATAACTCTGAGATATTGTCTATCGATAGCTTGTAGTCTGAGAAATATTCCACATACGCTTGATTACATTTTTCAATTCCATTTTTTGTGAATGCATCCTTGAAGGATGTACGGTCTTCTTACGGGTTATGTTAGAGGATAAACCTCTGATTACATACTTCTGTTAAATCTAATTCCATGTGCATGAATACCCCAGCCATGACAGGGAATGATGTATTAGTTTTAATTTCTAGATCTGCATGTAGATAGCTCAATTCGTCTTAATCTGACAATATCACTGTAAGACAATATTTCTGTCTGGAGTAATTACCGTACAAAAGATGAATTTTATTTCAAATGAAATTTTCATGCACAAGAAAACAGATAGATATTGTCTGAGCATGCTAATTTTGATTTAGAGAAGTATGATTTATGAAGGCCTACGTATTAGTCATAGTTGTACACACCAAAGTATACTGCGTCAACGGCAGCGGCAACTTCTCCTAGATTTATCTAATCTAATGATAGGAAACACTACCAACAGACAATAGAAGGCACTGCTCCCTGACAGCTCCAATAGCTTACTGGAACGGGACTTACGATTTAGACATTTGCATGAGTCACATTCTAGGCTTTAGTCATCTATGACAAAACAAAACACTAATGATAAAAACAGTAATGATTTTAATTTAAAAGGCTTTAATAAAAAAAGCAAGACAATCCAGGATTTGTAACGTTAAAAAAAAGGAATAATAGAAGAATGTTTGAGGAGGAAACAATTGCCACTGAAGAGCAGAGAGCAGTTGAGTACGTCGTGTGAAATGAACACCTTGCAATAGCTAGGACCACATCTGCCACCGGAATCCTCCTCTGGAACCTGATCCGAGCTATCCTGTCATAATTACGGGTATCACTGGCCTACCTTCACGCAGTTGTGACAAGATTCAAAGCAGACTTTCGCATTTTTGCTCTTATGAATTCAATTACAGGGCAGAGTGGTAGGATCTAGAGTGTACCCGCTGTTTACTTTGTGTGGAGTCTTGTCCGTTCTCCTTATACATTTACCTGCTATCACAGGTTGTTTATTTACCTGGCTTTTTAACCTCAGGTAACAAAGTCAGGTAGATCACTCTACACTAAGTAAATATGTCCATCGTATTTATCTTGTGCCTCCGTAGAGGATATTGATATCCTGTCCGATTACATGCCAAAAATTATAATTAGGTTTTATAGAAATTCATCCAACCATTTAAGGATGATACTAAAAATTGATAAATGCATAAAAAATGAATACCTAAGTTATAAATGATATGACTATATTGATAATAGGGAGATGGTATTAGTGTTTTATGACCCAAAATGTACAGATGGTCAGATATTTCTATTAATTCCACCCATATCCCATAAAAACCTTTAAATTCATCATTAAAGAAATTGAATAGGTTGTCATGCACACAGACAGAAAAGATCAATTTTGTCTCAATTAAGATTTGATATTCCTAACTGCATAACCATTCCACATAATTGGAGACTTCTGGGTATCCCTAGCTCACTGGTAAACAACGCTAAATATCAGATGACTTTTGAGTATTTCTAGCTCACTGGTAAATAACACTAAATATCAGATGACTTTTGGGTATTTCTAGCTCACTGATGAACAACACTAAATATCAGGTGACTTCTGGGTATTTCTAGCACTGATGAACAATACTATATATCAGGTGACTTCCGTGTATCCCTAGCTCACTGATGAGCAATACTAAATATCAGATGACTTTTGGGTATTTCTAGCTCACTGATGAACAACACTAAATAACAGGTGACTTCTGGGTATTTCTAGCTCACTGATGAGCAATACTAAATATCAGATGACTTTTGGGTATTTCTAGCTCACTGATGAACAACACTAAATATCAGGTGACTTCTGGGTATTTCTAGCACTGATGAACAATACTAAATAACAAGTGACTTTTGGGTATTTCTAGCTCACTGATGAACAACACTAAATATCAAATGACTTTTGGGTATTTCTAGCTCACTGATGTACAATACTAAATATCAGGCGACTTCTGGGTATTTCTAGCTCACTGATGAACAACACTAAATATCAGGTGACTTCTGGGTATTTCTAGCTCACTGATGAACAATACTAAATATCAGGCGACTTTTTGGTTTTCCTAGCTCTCTACACAATAATTCCTGGCAAGGTCCTTTACGGCTGATAAAAATATAGCATCATATCCAAGAAATCAGAACTTAGCAAATTTTGACTTTACAAAAGTGTTTTGTCATCACTAAGCCTAAACTCAGGATATGTGTGGACCTTACCTCTGGCCTGGGTTTGCCCTCTGGTGGCAGACAGGTGAGCTGAGCGTCAGTATCAAGGGCGGCACGAAGTGACATTGGCTCGTGTTCAAACCACCTCCGCATCACTGTAATAACGAAAATAGAAATTTACCACCACATTTATTTTTGAAATCCTAAGATAATATAACAATGCTCATAATGAAAAGAACGGAAATAGAAACTATACACAGAACATTATCAAGTTGAGGGCAATTAGTTAACCAGAGATTCTTAATTATTCTTTTTATTAAAAATGTCAGCCATAGCTACAGCTGTTATTTCACATATCCAATAACACATGTGATTTGTATATAAATGTTCAGTCAATTCCAGATGAGTGACGGGGTAAAAACTACCCTATGATTTTATCTCCAAGAAGTATTCACCACGATCAGTTATCTTCCTCACAAACTCGTCAATATTCAATGTTTGGTATTTTCTCGGTTATTGTAAATATCTCCAGATATATAATCAATTTCTGATGAATCAATATTGAATCAGGTGTGTAGCCACGATTACCATCTCACATAATGGAACTCTTCGCTGTGTAGGTTATGCTAAATTGCTCACCCTTATTCAAATATTTATCGACTCTAACATAATATTTTATCTGTAAGCACTTGTTTTGTGAATGAAAATTTATTTTTGTTAAAATCCTCCTTTCTGAAGTCTACGAATCTGTATGATAGATTTCGTTGGTAAATATTGACAGTGGCAGGGTTATGAAAGACTACCCCCTCCAATGATTACCATGTACAGCCTGATCTGCACACAGCCAGCACAACGACAGCTTTATGTTTTGACCTTTCCTTTTAACACTGTATCATTTCTTTCTCAAATTTAGTTTCGATCAAGATAGGCCATAATTGGAAGTCGTTCACTTCTGTGTTCTATCAACTTAGCACAGGTGCAGCTCATTTGAAATGAAAGAGTTGAATATAAAAAAAAGGTGGAATTTTAATCGTCTTGGTTTAAAATTAATCCTGAAATTTAACTCAGCCACAATTAAATGTATAGAGATGACGTAATTCTGTCAAGATGTTCAACCCTATGTTTCTTTATCAGTAAATGTGTCTCAATTACTTTCGTTTTAGCAGGACTTAGATTTGCTGGGGATTATGTAAGCATCTGTTCCTCGTGTTCATATCACTTCACTGTCGAACATCTGTGCTACATGTACGCAGGACATGTTCACAAACACATTCCATGCTGGATGTACCCAGATTTATTATGCCATTATCTATTTGTATAATGCACATTTGAGAATTGAGTAACTTTTCATGGTTCATTTGATTATATAAGATGAAACTATCTCGCAGAAACTAAAGCATCCAGGTTTTTTAAGCAGTATATGATTTATATTGAACAAAAAGCAAATTACATTTACAAAGTGTACTATAAAGAGGATGACTATCAATGGTTTGTTTCGTAAACATCCTGTCAGTGTCACATAATATCCCGTAATGTCTCAACAGTAGTTTTGATTTCATCTATTTTCATTTATAATGGAGATTTTTTCATTTCCACCTTTTATTCTTTACTCCTCAATGGCAAAACGTTTTTAGATATCCCTAAATATAAGACAACCTACCATCAAACATCACACTAAACCTAACCTGTGTACAGTTGTGGGACTGTAACGCTGTGTACAGTTGTGGGACTGTAACGCTGTGTACAGTTGTGGGACTGTAACGCTGTGTACAGTTGTGGGACTGTAACGCTGTGTACAGATGTGGGACTTGACCAGTTTGATGGCTGTGACTGTTTAACAGTGTACAGCGAGAGTTGTGTGACCTGTCCTGACTTTTGGTGACATGACTAAAAGTGTTAAGGCTGTGACTGTGATACCCTATAACAGCTGTGTGATGTGACCGACCACAAACACCTTAACCTCTGGTATTTTAATGATATTTTCACTGTGAATTTAATTGCTTGTCAGAAAAGTTGAATACCATTCATCCAGCTCTTAATTGACACAATATCCCAGTCTCAATTTTCACAATTAGACAGGTACATTCAGGTAGACCAGGAAAGGTACTGTAATCCACACTAACATACATGTAGGTGCCTCTGGGAGGGAGAAGTCTATGGGAGGGGGACATACAACAGGAGAAGGATCTATTAAAAATAGTCATCCTCTACACGAACGTAACTAATACTGAAATTATTTCTCTAACAGTTACTTTAATTCTGATCTGTATGAAGTTGAATGAAACATTGAAATTGTATGAAACATAATTTCACATAAGATATAAGTTATATTTTCTTTTAGCTAGTTTATCAGTTGAACTAAAATGTGTGGCACTTTAAAGATAAAACTATTTTCAGGCAATTCTTTAATTACATTTTTAGGAACACCAATATTTTTTGGCAAAAATTTAATTATGATTTGAAGTAAAATTATTCAAAAGTGCATTAACAGTACATAATTGTAGATAAGAGCGATACTGGTACACCAAGCAGCTTACATGTTCGCATGTGATTTACGAACAACACCAGGGAATGCCATGTGCAAGTTAATAACTCTCTCTCCGATAGTTGACTTCACCTTTTATTCCTGGGTATTATAGAACCACACAATTACACCATCTCAACTAGCAGTTTCAATCGCAGTGTTGGCACGACTGATCGCTTTAATACACGACGCGGCCACCGTTGCATCACCTAACATGCAATTGAGTACCTATCAGGGAAATAGCATCGTTCAAATCTAGAATTATGGACGATTTCTTTCCACTTAAGATCAATAAAACTGAGATTTTTTCGTGGGGGACTTTATAGGTCCTATCTTAGATTGATTGATTAAGTTTTCCTCGGTAAATGAATGGACAGACATTATGTTTTAGTAAATTGGTAGGTATAAAAATCTAGACCGATTTAGAAAAGTGAATTCTTGGCATTCAAAACAGGGAATCGACTAGGAACTTTCAATCACTTCTTTTATTATCCGTTCTAGGTTTTTATGTTTTTTATACAAGTGCAGTTTGAATGACTGTTTTACTATGTTAAGTGAACATGCTTTATACTCATTGGGGGTGCTATTAGTATTAACACTAGACAGCTCACAGGAAGGTAAATTGTATGAAACTATTAAATCAGTTCATTGGTAAAACATTACAAATAATTACAAAATAAACAAGAGGCCCATGGGCCTTAATGGTCGCCAGATATATTTATATACAGAGAGTTGATTTTGTTTTTAACATGTACAGAAATATTATTCAAAGTGACAATAAAACCACCTTATTCAATATCTAGCATACAGATTTAAGACTAAAAAGTATTTGAAACTAGCACCTCTGATTCTAAACAAGGAAAATGAAGAAATTTTAGCACACTGACTCCTTTGGGCCCCACCCTACAGCCCTTGGGGGTAGGGCTGGCTCAAAATTTTCAAAGTATCAAACTGACAACTCAAGGTTATAATTCCAATCAAGTTATTAACATGTAATATTAAAAGTATCATTTGCCATTATAAACCATAATAAATTTATGGGGGAAACATGATACCCCAGGGTCAAGAAATTCACAATTTTGGTAAAGCACCTTAATACCCTTCCATCATGAAGAGTATTTGATTCTACCATATCTGGGTCTTGAGAAGAAGATTTTTTGAAATTTCAGTCAATTCAACCCTTTTTGGCCCCACCCATCAACCCCGGGGGGTCAGTCAGGGCTGATATGGGCATTTTTGTTGACCTTTGTCCATGGAAGGTTCCTGCAAAATTTCATTGAAATTGGTTCAGTGGTTTTGGAGAAGAAGTCGAAAACGTAAATTTTTTACGGACACACGACGGACGACGACGGACAAAAGGCGATCGCAATAGGTCACTTGAGACTTTGTCTCAGGTGGACCTAAAATTGATTTTTTTCCCTTATCTCTCTGTCCCTGTAGTGAAAATGTATCCCCGTTTAGACTTATTCTTTTTCACTCCTCCCAAACACAGATGATTTATGGAATTTTGTCTTCACCCTTCCAGATTTTTCTTATCAAAGTGAATGACATTGGGTGTTTTTTATCTTACATCAAAAAATTTCAAAACTGACATATAATACGGGAGTCTGTGCTCTTATGAAGCATTATAACTAGGCATAAGAATTTTATAATCATGTGTTACAGATGGGCCGATATACTGACCCTGCTAAACCCCTTTTTACCCAGTGAGGTAAAGGGATCAGAAATACTCTCCCATAAAACGTGACTGCTTCCCTGTCATCTTATACTCCTTCTTGGTCTCAAAGACGTTTTACAAGGAAATTCGCCCTTAAAAACACAGTTATTCCTCTATGACAAGACATAACACACCAGCATGATACCTATCACATGTTGTGTACTTTTATGTGAAAAAAAATTCCTACAATTTTCATTAAATCCTATGTAACAGCTTCAGTAGAGAGGCTGACTGATTTCAGTAGGGCAGTCCCTACATATACCATTATCCCCTACACAAGGAAAGTATAGGGGGGTAGTCAAGAGGAAAAACAGGAAATTGACTTCTAATATGAATTTCAGAATAATCCATGAAAGTTGCCAGCGTAAGATTAATCAATAAACATATGAATTGTAGTATGATTTTAATTAATTGATGCAATTGTAGAATTAAACATACATTAGCAGATTTCTGGCATACTTTTTTTTAAATCTTGCTGACAAAACTGCAGTTGTTTTAGAAAATCTGAGTGACTGGAAGGTCAAATAAAAAGGAACCTCACTTTTCAGACATTCGTGATGGATGTTGAATGGAGGAGATTTGTTTTACTAGAGATTACGCTTGACTGATATAAAGCTAAAAGTTGTCAAAAAATATCAACTTCCTGTCGTTTATATATATGGTGGTATCTTGGTACTGTCCATGTGGCTTGGGTTTTACATCGTAGGCCTCACTGCCCAGTCTCTCATCAGTACCATACAGAAGTGACAAGATAAGGGTTTTGAAGGCCAGAAAAATTTGACTTTGATTAATTGTAGAACAACTTGTTTTTACAGGTTAACCCTGGTCGACTAAGATAAAAAAGATATCAAAAAGCCTTGACCTGATCGCCTGTGAAATGATTAGCCATTTGGAAGATTATCATGTTTTCTTTTCATAAATGTTTGGATTCAACAGTACAAATCATGAACATGATGAATAGAATGGATCCTGAATTCTACTTTATGTTTGAAAAAATATTTGTTTGCTTACTTTCCGGTGATTTTCAATAAAATTTTATAATATATGGTTCCTTGATCTTTTAATAAATAATTAAATCACAACAATAACTTCTGTACTGTAGTGATAAATTTAAAAGTTGTCTGGAACCACACAATAACAGAGCTGATATGTCTCTATGTGTATAAAGATGTCAAAAGAAATACCTTATACCTTACAATATAGAAACAAAACAAAATAATAATGTGAGCGTAATGTTTTATGAAGATTGAGATGGACAACAAAATGTACAGGTTTATGAGGAATGTGTCTACATGGTGGTCTTTTCGATGTATTGAATACCTCCCATCAAAACAATACCATACTGACCAATGGTCAGTGATCATTGACTTCAGATGACCCCTAGTCCTTTCCTAACTATGACAAGTGTCCTGACCGTCAGGCTGATGAGGACAAGTGCTGACAGGGGCTATCCATCATATCCCCTCCATAAATAAACATGGAGGCTCTGTATGTATCCATGGCAACCACTGTGTATGGCGGCTATACCTATCCAAAGCTATTACGACACAATGCCTCTTTATCAATTATCCTAATAACTTCATATATAACTATAATGGCATGTCAGCTATACCTCTGATCAGTGCTTTCCTAGGTCGTAAACAGACACAAAACAATGCTATTATGTATCTTCCGATTCCTTGGGTAAATTAATTGCTTAATTGAGCACTATCTATCTCCTGTCCTCCTTATGTTTGCTTTCTTCCTCCATTTAAACAATAGATGGCCTTTGTGAAAACAGTGGAAGTATATTAAACAGATCAAGTTGAAACCAGTTAATGTGAATTTGTTTGATATTAATACAGGCTGTGTGAAATGGGTAATCAAGTCTGCATGCATCAGTCATCAGAGAGTGGAGCTGTAATCATAATGGTGTCCACACTTTTACACCTAACATCACGAGAAACGCTATCACCAAAGGTCACCCTGTACGTATCAATAAAGTCCATTTATTAAGCTTGAAGTGTGTTTTTAGGTTTTGTATCAGATATGTTCCATAACTGCAGCTGTTAATTCAATCTCAATGGATGTCTTTATCAAAGGAGGCATATTGATCTTACGTAACCAAATAAGAACTCACCAAGCTGATTATAGTAATGGTTACAATGACACAACATAATAATGGTCTGAAACGGCCAAACTGATCACTGAATCTCGACGACATTTACAGTTACTTCCAGGCAGAAATTCCCATCACCTGTTCCTTATATATGCTGTGTAGATATGATTACAAAAATTCTATATAAGTTATCTCCCTTGGATGAAAACAACGTCCAAATAATCTACTTACTTGCAATTTCCACCATTCCTTTCCTGCTTTTGATTTTCTTTCCATTATCAGTGTCCTGTAAACTATTGGTCGCATAACATTCGCACCAAAATCCACCTTCTCCAAAATAATCTTTAACTTCATCCCGTGTTACTTCCAGTCGACTAGAAATCACTTTTTTATTGAGATTTGAATCGAAGTATTCCTCCGTTATTTCATGGTACTGATCGACACCGGCACATCGGAACTTTATTTGGACTGCACTAACAGCTTTACAGTGAATGTTGATTGGTCGATTTTTGACTATGTAGTAGTAAGGTTCCGGTTCCTTGATGAACATAGGAGACCCGATGAGACGGGGATCACTACTTCCGTGTACTGCTCCCGGAACAAACTCTGGAACACATAACAGTATAGAAATTAAATAATGCATCAAAAATAAAAATCATTCAAAACATAAAAATTCAAGAAATGAGTGGGGTGTACTTGATGTGTTAAGTTGAAACAAATTAAAACATGTATTTAAGTATCTAATATCAAAACAATTTTTGCTTACATTTATAAAATCATGTCAAGGTTAATACTGTATTGTTTTTTATAAGGAGGTTTATAAAATATACAGTGTACCTCCTGGGGAAAATCTAGCAGGCCTGTATGATTTCCAGCAGGGATGGAGGGGCGAGCTATAGCTTGGCTGATGACAGGTGAGAAATACAATGTCTGTTAGTTGTTTACTTAACCCTAACAATCAATCAACAGAAAAGCCTGACTTCATGAAGAAGGGTATTCAATGTCTGAAACGGTTTTATTAATGGCCGGTAGATGTGCACAGCAACACACACAGTTCAGGCAAATGAGTATACATCATTTTTTTTTCTGGGTCTCTTCACCTAGCAATTCTGGAGCAGGTTGGCCAGATGGCAGGACTCCCGATGGTTAGCTAACCCATACACCATCATCAACATCTCCAAAACACAGATAGCACAGCCAAAACAGTATGTGTTTTACAGGCTCTGATACAGATGTTGTGAAAAATAGTGTCTGACCCTTTATTTACTCAACACCCAAGAATCAAGTGATCCACACTTTATAATTGTCACAAGACATTTATTTACATAATGATGGCCTTCTGTGCATTTTACAAAAGATTTTACATTGCTGTAAATAACACATAACTTTATAAGCTGTGTTGATTAGTTAAAGAATTTGTAATTCACATCTCCTCATTTATCTACATGATGCCAGCCTATGATGTTGATGTAATTTAGAATATTGTCAGGCTTAGCAGAAACTTGGCTACTGAAAATATTTTTGCTTGAAATGTGAATCTACAAAAACGTATTTGATTCATTAGATATGTAATCCTGGCGTATGGCTTTAGATCTTTAGACATGTTACTGTCCTAGGACCTCCGTAATTATCAGAAATGTTACTGTCCTAGGACCTCAGTAATTATCAGTCATGCTACTGTCCTAGGACCTCCATAATGATCAGACATGTTACTGTCCTAGGACCTCCGTAATTATCAGTCATGCTACTGTCCTAGGACCTCCGTAATTATCAGACATGTTACTGTCCTAGGACCTCTGTAATTATCAGACATGTTACTGTCCTAGGACGTCCTTAATCATCAGAAATGTTACTGTCCTAGGATCTCCGTAATTATCAGAAATGTTACTGTCCTAGGATCTCCGTAATTATCAGAAATGTTACTGTCCTAGGATCTCCGTAATTATCAGAAATGTTACTGTCCTAGGACCTCAGTAATATCAGTCATGCTACTGTCCTAGGACCTCAATAATGACCAGACATGTTACTGTCCTAGTTCCTCCGTAATTATCAGTCATGCTACTGTCCTAGGACCTCAATAATGACCAGACATGTTACTGTCCTAGTTCCTCCGTAATTATCAGTCATGCTACTGTCCTAGGACCTCAATAATGACCAGACATGTTACTGTCCTAGTTCCTCCGTAATTATCAGTCATGCTACTGTCCTAGGCCCTCCATAATGATCAGACATGTTACTGTCCTAGGCCCTCCGTAATTATCAGACTTGTTACTGTCCTAGGACCTCCTTAATTATCACACTTGTTACTGTCCTTGGACCTCCGTAATTATCAGACATGTTACTGCCCTAGGACCTCTGTAATTATCAGACTGGTTACTGTCCTAGGACATCTGTAATTATCAGACTGGTTACTGTCCTAGGGCCTCCGGAATTATCAGACTGGTTACTGTCCTAGGACATCTGTAATTATCAGACTGGTTACTGTCCTAGGGCCTCCGGAATTATCAGACTGGTTACTGTCCTAGGACCTCTTTAATTATCAGACTGGTTACTGTCCTAGGACATCTGTAATTATCAGACTGGTTACTGTCCTAGGACCTCCGTAATTATCAGGCTTGTTACTGTCCTAGGACCTCCGTAATTATCAGTCTTGTTACTGTCCTAGGACCTCCGTAATTATCAATCATGCTACTGTCCTAGGACCTCCGTAATTATCAGACTTGTTACTATCCTAGGACCTCCGTAATTATCAGAAATGTTCCTGTCCTAGGACCTCAGTAATTATCAGTCATGCTACTGTCCTAGGCCCTCCATAATGATCAGACATGTTACTGTCCTAGGCCCTCCGTAATTATCAGACTTGTTACTGTCCTAGGCCCTCCGTAATTATCAGACTTGTTACTGTCCTAGGACCTCCGTAATTATCAATCATGCTACTGTCCTAGGACCTCCGTAATTATCAGACGTGTTACTGGCCTAGGACCTCCGTAATTCTCAGAAATGTTACTGTCCTAGGACCTCCTTAATTATCAGAAATGTTACTGTCCTAGGATCTCCGTAATTATCAGAAATGTTACTGTCCTAGGACCTCAGTAATTATCAGTCACGCTGCTGTCCTAGGACCTCCATAATGATCAGACATGTTACTGTCCTAGGACCTCCGTAATTATCAGACTGGTTACTGTCCTAGGACCTCCATAATTATCAGACTGGTTACTGTCCTAGGACCTCTGTAATTATCAGACTGGTTACTGTCCTAGGACCTCCGTAATTATCAGACATGATACCCTGTCCTAGGACCTCAGAAATTATCAGACATGTTACCCTGCCTTAAGACTTCTCAACATTAAATTTGTAACTTTGTATAGAAACAATATTATTTACTAAAAGGTATCTTTCTTGTTTCGTGGTTATACAGCAAGCTACTTTAAAAAGCATTAAAAATTAATCTACCATGGCATGTGTTTGTATTTAGAAACCTATTGCATAGCTTTACTTGACTCCCCCACCCCTCTAACTGTCTTTGTGTTACATGTTGGGGGATAAGACGGAGATGGAGATTACATTTCTTCCTATGTAAAGGAGAGACAGAATTGGAATGTATAGCCCATAAATACTGAAGCAGTAGAAAACTTGGTGTTGAATTATGATATTTTGGGGCTGACTGCAACAGGAAGTAGCCATTGGGAGGGACAGCACACAACATTTTGTGAGATGATTAATGGGTGCTGGAAACCTAATCAGGCCCGAGCTGTGTACATGTTGAGTGGGACTTGTATAAATGTGTGTTAGAGGGCCCCACCCCCCGGCAGGGGGTGAGGGGATCCCCCCCCCCCCCCCCCCCCTCCCCCCCACACAACTATAACTTGTTGATGTATTAATGACCCTGTTAATGATCCAAGTTCCACATTTTCCTACAGCTGTGGACACAAACCACCATTTTGTTGTAACTAAAAGATAAAATTATCTTCAGATCTGGCTGGAAGGGTGAGGACAGGTCCAAACAAAATAAATGTCTTTCAAAAAAACACCAAGGACACGTCAGTGAAAATATCCGTCAGCTATGATGCCAACACCATACAAAATAAAACATCAGAAAAAGAAAGTTAATTGAATGTCCTATATTCATAGGTCACCAGATTGACCCAATTGGGAAGGTGAAGCATAAAAGGAAATGTCATAATAACAACAATTTACAACAAGGGCCTGTTCATACAATCAACCACCGAAAATAGAATAAAGCATCAAAAACAATTATAGAAACAATCACCTCCAAAAGGTAAGTAATGAATTAACTCCCCTTGATTAAATCTTCAGTTCCTTCTAGACAACAGCATGGTGTTAATTACATCATGAAGGGTGTGAGTGGCTATTAGTCATACACACATTCACCACAAATTGAACAATGGATTTTTACATAAAAATTAATTGTTCTGTGCCAGGGAAATTCTCTCAGGCTGAATTATTCTGCTGCAATCATTACATATAGTGATTGTGCCATTCTTTCTGCTGTCAGTGTTTTTGTATGGAATTCAGTTATAGGAGATATACCACAGACCTGAGGGAGCTAACTGATAGGGCCTGTACACTACTAATCTTCACGGCCCATTTATAATTGGCTGCAGCAGTGTATAAGTAGGGCGACATCTACCTACACATAGGTATGGCACTGGCAGCTAGCCTCCATAGCATTAATATATACATGTATGTATAGTTCATTAGACAGCATTAATTAAGTACATTTTACATGTTTAAAGGATACATATAGCTGATTAGACCCTCCTAATATTTATATCCTGTCAGTGATTTTTTTATCCATTATATTCAGAGGTTTCTGTTATTTTTGCACAGGGAATATATTGCAACATGCTTGCAGATTGGGGATTTCACACTGTTTATAACAATATCCCCAAACATGTCACATTAAAATATTAGCTTTCAAGTGACGCATTCGTGACACGCAAGTACAAAAAAACTGGGGTTAAATATGCAGTGATTTTTAATTTTTGGAAAACATGGCTTAAATTTCCCAGGGAGAAACACTGTTATATTCCCCAAAAACAAGCATTAACATTTGTCATGGAGTTAACTTATATACCAAGCTAGATACCTAGGATAGACACCTACTGTATTGAATTTGTCTCACTGACATTTTTGCAAGTCATGTAAGTTTCACAATTTCATATCATTTGAATTTTGAAAAAGGACCACCAAAGTTGCATGCTTCATTATAAACTGGACACAATGGAAAATTCATTACTTTGCACCGAAATAAATGAAAATTGAATTTCATGAATTAAAAAATGAAATTAGAACCCAAAAATTTGAAAATAAGACAATACTGATATTTATTATTTTGCAAGTCATATTTGTGTAATATTTATTATTGAAATAACATACCATAACAATCTGGAGCTAGGACAAACTTGAAATTAAACAAATAGTTCACCCAGGACATCACAAATTAGACACTAGATCTTTACTAGTTTGCAAATCATGTGAACATTTAAATTTTAAAATTGCATGACTCAAACATTTAAAATTAACTGATCTACATGTTGGTGAAAAAAATGACAATGAACAGACTTGTAAACCATTAGAGAACA